CTTTCACAGTTGTCTACTTTAAAATAATTGAGAATAGCATGTATGTGCTTATTGTGTTTTTTTTTTTTTTTTTTTTTTAGGTTTTTCAGAATTGTCAAATTTGGATAGAGAATAATATAACTTTTTATGACTAATATGTGAAAGTTGTTGTCGAAAAAAGTAAAACAGATATGTACAGAGAGGGTAACGATGTTCTAATTTCTTAGACTAACAACATCACTTGTCCAGTTAATATGTTACATCAGGTACTTAAGTATGGCAAATATTTCTTCCAGTAGTACGGAATATATGTAACACTCCCCCAAACGTGTCCGAGTCCCCCAAACACGTCTATTTCGCCCAAACGTGTCCTTAAAATCATAAATCGCCCAAACATGTCGGATTTCACATCTCCCAAACGTGTCCGTCAATTGTTATTCGCCAAAACGTGTCCACTTTAAGACGCCTGAACGTCTCAAAACCTTTAGCAGTATTATGTCCTCATTGACGTCAATAACGTTTGAAGATGTCGGGTTTCGGTTGGATTATAAAAAGATTAAAGCCGCATTCAAAGGACATAAATGCTGAAGTATTTTGGGCACAATTACCGGAAATTAAAAAAGGAACAGAGTTGAAAGAAGAAAATCCAAAATGTATTATCATTAGTTTGTTAAACGCCGGTTATTTATATTTAGCATAACTGCAAGTTTGATTTGCAACATATAAATTAACTCTTTACTGTTGTTTGCTTAATGTCTAATGACAAATATTTCATGTATATTTAGAGCGAACATAAACAAATTGCAATGACTTAGTTTTGAACAGTTAAATTCGTCGTTTACTAAGTGAATTTTTTCGTACCAATATACTCCGGTCATGTCTAACTACCTGCATACTAGTGATGTATGAGGATATTGCACGGAATTTTTTTATCAGCTCTTCAAAGTATGTACTGGTATTAAGTTTTTGTGTTCGAGCATCACTACAGAGACATAAACAAGAGGAATAAATTTGCATGTATCATTAGCATCCCTGATACCAACCTTATAATTCATTATCATTAATTACCTAAAGGTATCGTCAAAATACATTAAAAACCGTATGCGTAAATTCCACGATGTGAAGGCAAGTCATTTTAAATGAACATCTTCTTTTTAACTGTCGCATTACGTTAAATTAATTGTGAAAGAGGTAATAATCGACTAACAGAAAGTAATGGATTAACTGATTGTTGCGTGTAGCTATTATTTCATGCATATTTAAGACAATAAATTGATTGATTGTTGGTTGATTAACGTCCAGTGGCAAATATTGCATGCATATTCAGGGCGAGAACATATAAACAATAAATACATTAGGTTCGTTTATCTCTTCCTACACGAAGTTTTCGGATTTAACATCCTCATTCTGACCGGACGTGGTTGCGTACTTTTACATCCCACACAGCCAAACGGACGCGCAACTTTCACAAGGATTTAACTGTCGGTTGGAAGAAGACCTAATAACCTTATTTTTAGGACAATAAATGAATGAGTAAATTAAAAGGAGTATAGGTCAATAGAAGAACAATAAACAAATTTGTTATTAAACCAAATTATATATTTAATATTGGAGGACATGTTATTGTTACTTGAAGACCAAACATTAACTTAAATAAATGGGCATTTAAAAATATGGGCAAGATTGAGCGTTCATAAAAGGAAACGATATATATGCTTTATATGATCTTATATGGACACGTTTGGGGGAATGGGCACTTTTGGGCGTTCTTAAAACATGACACGTTTTGGTGCCCTTTAGCACCTATACATGTTTTGCAGTTCAGTGACGTCATATGGACACGTTTGGGGGAATCGAACACGTTTGGGGGGATGGACACGTTTCTGAGTGTTACATTTATATCCCGAGGTTTAAGCTTTTGCAAAAGTAACAACAGTTATGTACTTCGTTAATCAGGAAAAATATCTTATACTTCCGCCAGAGACATGTTGTTGTCTACTCATCATCAGTTAGGTTTAGACAAGACTAAATTTGGTCTTCATAGTTTGAGATCTGGTGGAGCTACGGCAGCTCTTGCATCAAAAATTGAAGATAGAATTTTTAAAAAACACGGTACAGGGAACAGTGATTATGCAAAAGATGGTTATGTAGAAGCAAGGTTGTCAGTTACAAAAAAATCTTGGTGTTTAATATAAACCAATATATGTCAATTTTTGGCCCATCCTTTGTTTTGTTCAAAACTTTGGTGCACTCGTCTACTCGAGCTGTTTCCCATAGATATGTGTTTTAGCTTTTTGTCATAAATACTTTATATGCGTATGAGACCACGAATAAGAAAATAAATGTATTTATTAACTATCAATAGCACATGGGCTTGTTGTTATATTGGGAACATGTGTTCATGTTTACAATAATATTTAAATTATTTTAGCATAACAATAAATCACCTTAACATAGTAAAGAGTTTAAAGTTTCTATATATGATAGCACGGACTAGTCATTTGCGGTAAAAGCTATCATTGAAAATATATTTTCATATTTTGACCTCTTGAAGCACAGTCATGGTGCAGTAAAGTTTCCCCAAACTCCCACCAATGTGAAACTTTTTGTATTAATTTCTTAATTATTGTAAACGCATTACGTTTTTTCTGAAGATCTTGATAGAACATTATCATGTTATGTAAATATTGTTTATAGAAATGAACAAATTCTATTTTTTCTTTTTTCTTTGTAGATATGTTTGTAAGACATGTATGCAGCAGTGGATTCTTATTTTTGCAAAGTGATTTGAGGAAAGTTTTTTTTTTTTTATTTTAGAATAAATGAAACTTTGCTGCAATCGTTTAGGCGAGCTGTTTCCGTTCAACCCACCATTTTTTCTTAAAATGTCCTGTACCAAGTCAGGAATATGGCAGTTATATTCAAATAGTCCTTTTTTATGTATGTTGGCGTTTGTTTTTGCAGCAGTTCAGTGTTTCTGTTGTTCCGTTGTTTTCCTCTTATAGTCGATGTGTGTGCCTCTGTTTTTGTTTGTGACCCGGATTTGTTTCAGTTAAATCGATTTATGACTATTGAACAGCGGTATACTACTGTTTCTTTTATTTCCCATAGATATGTGTTTTAGTTTTTGTTCATAAATACTTTATTTGCGTTTGAGTCCAAGAATAAGAAAATAAGTATAATTATCTTCATTGGTTCTGTATAAGTTTGTAAAATACATTGGATATGTTAGCTCAAAGATAAAAAAACCCGTGCCTCTGTCTAAAGATTGAATACCTGCTACTCAGTTAAGATGACAGACAACTAGACGTTAGAGGTAGAGAAGAGTTCTTTAAAGGCTACAAAAATTAGATAAAGGATTGTTAATTTTTTTTCAAATTAGATATTTATGTATATTTGAATTCAGATGGAATATACACCTGCATGTATGCATACAATACTGATATTTTATCTGATTTAAGTAAAATTCCAAATCCTTATGACATAATGAGATAAATGTTCAAGAAATACAAAAAGAAAAACGCTTATTAAATCATGTACCTTTTTCAATGTTTATCATACTTTCTGTTTATTATTACAGTATGTAAAAAAGGTTAATATTGTGGGAAATAAGCGGAAGTTATATCAGTGGGACGCACTGGGTGTGGTGGCCTATGGTGTATATAATATTCGCCGACATCCTCCTCTCATACTAATTATCGCTGCTACATATAACAGCTAGTGCTTATTCATCGCATCTATATATAAGAAAAGAAACCTTTCGAATAAATCAAACCATGGAAGTAATATATATCGGAAAGATCTACAAACAGGATGTCATAATGTCACAGAATTTGAGCATTGTGAAGGCATTAAAACAAAAAGCACTCTTTGCCAATTTATAATTTGATATTAAACGACAGCAATTACCAATTCTGTTTTATAAACAACAAACGTGAAACGTCTATATGGATTGGATGTTAACATTTTACTTTATCGATAGATTTTTACACTGTTGTTTTAAATGATGTCATGAGGTTAACACTTTTAACATGGACCAATAGCTTTATTTTCAGCCATTTCGATACAGGTTAGTGCTATTCTATTTTATTTCATAATCCATATTATATTTTGTAATAATCACAGCTCTGTTATTGTAATTAAGTAATCAAATAAACAATTCTGTCAAAACATCAAAAACAACAATTTGACTTAGACACATCAAACACAATTACAATGTACTTGAGACACCTATTTCATAAGCTATTGATTTTACCACTAAAATCAGCACTTCTCTTTATCCTTGTTTGATGGTATGAATGGAATAACCCTGGAATTATCAGTCTTGTAAAAAAAGTCATCCGTTTCAAACGTTGATTATAAAGACTTTTTTGCAAATACTGTGCAAAATCAATGAACTACATACGCCAATCACACTGTAATCAAACAACAACAACAAAAAAACCCCCAAAAAAAAACATCAAGGTTAATACAACACAATACTGCAACATTTGGGTCTTGTGTCTACAAAATTTGAAAAAAGTGTTGCCATTTTAAATCAGTTAATCTTTAAAATAGTCGGTTCAACTTAAAATATAATCATACTGTCTTTTTAAAATTGGCGTTTGTATCCAACAAAATGTATACTTTGTTTATTAAAAGTGGAGATATTGTTTAAGGAGTGGTGATTTGTTTCGAATGTAAACACCAAAAAGAAGAAGGTTAAGTGACATAAAAGCCCATAAAACAATACTTAAATACTAAAATACTGATAAACTTGTTGTTAAAATGAAACCCAAAATATCAGATAAAACAGATGAAATGATACAAAATTAACAGACAAACTAAAAACTATTATACAAGGAAGCATTTAACGTTTTTCTTTCGAACAAACTGACAAACAAATAGATATTAATGTTTTGGTTTTACATAATAAGTACTTCATCGTATCCTGGAACACTCGAAAACTTTACAATACACAATATTCCACATTAATATTGAAATTATTTCCGTATTGGACTTTAATTTACCAAGACGGAGAAATGTTGAAAGGCTTGATTATTTTGCTCCTCACTTTTACAAGTAGTGTGGTAAGAGGTTTAACACGATATGACAACAACACATGTTTTGACACGACAACAAGGTGAGTATATTTCCTTTTGATAACCAACAAATGTAATAATTTTTAGGATAGGAATCAATAATAAAATTTTAAATGAGATAAACAAAAATATATAAATCTTTAAAAAAATTTCGTGTTGTTCAGTCTGTTTTCTGTGAAGTGTTGTGTAGACTGATGTTATTCTTTTCGTGGTTTTTCTTTTATGTCATGTTTTTTTCTTCTGTTATTTCGACTTATGAATTGTCATTTGGTAGCGACTTCCTCTTTTTTTTCATCAATTATTACTTGCATTTATTAATGCGATTGTTGATAGACAAAGGAAATTTTGATATTACCTAAAATGCTGCACACATGTATACTTTCAGATTTTAAGTACAATTACAGTTATCTCGTTGCAGTAAATGCAATAATTAAACATCGTAAATTATTTTTTATTAACATGTTAAAATTGCCTGCATAAAGTCAGAAGCCTGCATTCATTTAAAGTCATTTCACAATTAACTATTTTCTTTTCAAAATTTTCATCAGCCTTCACAGAGTCAATAAACAAATATAATGTATTCGGTATGATCTCCTTCGTATATTATTAACAAAAAAATTGTTAATACTGAATAACATGACATCAGTACGCTCAAAGTTGTCATTCGCTATAATTGCATTTAATTGAGTCCTGTGATAATGGACAAGGTAATACTTTTGAAATGTATTTGAAAGATTTTTAACTTTCAGTGATATATATCTGTCTATTGAACATTTTCATATAATGATTCGTTTCAATCAAAATGGTACTTCAGCCTTTAACTAAAACGTGGGATTACCAGTGGATATTTCTAATCATTATCAGAAGTGTTGATTGGAACTTTTTCAATACAACTAAAAAAATATCGAAATGCGTCATTATTATTCTATAAACGATCAATTAATGTTTTCCGGGATAATGTTTTAAAATTTTGTTTGATGTATAAATGAAATATAGTTCAACATATCCGGAAATATTTAAGAGAATCAAAATACACAATATTCTCAATTATGGATGAATTATGTCCGTATTGGAATTTAATTTTGTCGTGAAACAAAAATGTCAGAATGATTGATAATTTTCTATATTCTGTGATCATCAGTGGTTAAATCTAAGCATTCACAAGGACCACGAAAATTGTTGTCTTTTGGTTTTTATTAAGTCTATTTTATGTCCAATTTGTATCTGATAGCAAGCCTATCTTTTGTCGGTTATGTTGAGTTTATGCACACGTTGTCTAAACTCTTGGTGATTTGGCACTTGATATGTGGTGTTGTTGAAGACCATATGTTAATCCCAAGATTTATGTTGGGTTTTTATGTATGTCAAAGGACTGCTTCATTCATTCACACATTATAAAAGATCCATATACAATTGAAATATTTTCAAAGGAGGAACAAACATATAGCATAGTATAAAGGGAACAACATATGGTGACAAAAATGTAATGATAGGCGGGAACTCATAGATTGGAATGGAAAACGATATTGCATCACACTCTATAAAAATTTGAATTTCTGTTATTTAGGAAGACACCTTTACCATGATTACATTGGTTTTATCAAAACTATATATATGATATATGAAAGATAGAAATGGTCATTTAGACCGTGGGAATATACAGTATGTAGTCTTTTTATCAAACAAAGCTAGCAAATTTTACTGGAATCTTCAAATCTTTAATGTAACTATCCTATAAGGTTTCGAGTTTCGAAAATAATATTGAATCTATGTTTTCCTAATGCTGTTATTTAAGGAATGACTGCAATATTTTTCTGTCTATAGAGAAATAGCATTAAAAATGTAGTGTACACTGAAAAACTCGCGTAGAGGTTTATTTAAAAGTGTGCACCACATTTTTGAGGTTATTTAGAATAGACAGAACAAATATTACAGTCATCCTTTACAAGAATTCATTATGTTTTTTTTATATTGTATCTGCTGATTTCAAAATTTACACATGTATTTGTTAACAATATTTCCTTTTTTAAAGTATTTACATATTTTACAGAGAATATGTTTGCTGTTCAAACTATGAAGATATCAACGATAACTGTATCAGTGAGTATGTAATAGTCGTATGATAAAAATAAGAGTAAAACAATTTCGTAGTACCATAGATATGTATTATGTAAATTTTCAACCAGTCTTATGAAGATGTTTGACAATTTTCCCGGAATTTTTCAATTCTATTTTCATTTACGGAAGAGATATTTCGTAAAACATCAGCTCCTGAAAATTAATTTTATAAGGTAGAATCAAAGCTAAATTCACATGAAGTAGTTTGTCCCATCGGAGTGATACTAATTTTCAAATCTACTAAACGTTACAAAGGTTCTAAGTAAGGGTTCATTAAGATAAACCAATCGAAAGATAATGTGTTGCTTACGGGAGTACATATAAAAAATAGGTAACTTATTGATAGTATAACTTACTTTTTGTACATCGTATTGGTTAGAACCGCTATAAGTTCGCGTATACGTATTTTCCACTTTACACGGGTCCAGTTCGCCTAGTAATTAGTGCTTTGGTAATAACTGGGTGTTCATGAGACATTTGGACATGGTAATTTTAATTAAAGTTTATGTAATTGTAATAAATTTAAAACTAAGGTTGAACTCCCTCAAACAAAGATTAAACAAAAATTATCTTAAAAGAGTTTTTTGCGCTATTTGTGTTCATCCTCTAGGTTGTTTTATATTTTTGGCTTTCAATACTTTTGAACTCGGACGTATCTGTTTTAATTTATTTCTGTATCACATGTCGTAAGAACAGTCATCGGTATCATACTTTCTTTTAAAGATCAGAACTAGATTTTACTTTAGATTCCAAACCAATATAAGTGTTATCACTTATCATTGAAAGTAGTGAACACTGAGTCTAGTTAACGAATTTAACGATCATATTGATATTAACATCTTCTGAACAGTTTGAACAATAATCATTCAGTCATTTTTCAGACTTATCCACTTCTGTAAATTCAATACTGTTTAGACAACTATTAGCTTGAAGCCAATTCAGTACTGTTCAGTATGATTTTGAGGTAGAGAGGTCAATTGCCAATCTGATTCGTGCATATTTTTAGACGAATTGTGGGTTTGATGATAAAAACATGAAACTTTGTACAATTGTAAATATATATTTGGTAGTCAATTTAAGCTATGGACCAACTCTGAACAATCCAATATGTCGGCCCTGTTCAAGATGTGTGCCAATCAGTCTAAATTTTACAACCAAGAATAAATTATAGCAAATAATATTTAAACCAAATATTTTAAAACATATAAAATGTAATCTAGCGTTTCTAGTAAGTCATGACGTTATATTTGACTTTTCATTTTGTTTTTCAAAATGGCCACAAAAAAGTGAAAATGAACAAAACTGGAACAAGGCTTTGCTCATATTTATTTCTTCTATCGAATTACATTTTGCAGTTCATACAATATTATAGTGATTGCGTTTCCATGATTTATTGATACTGTTTCCATGTCATTTTAATCAAAGATCCCATAAATTGAAACATTCGAACGTTTCCAGGACGCCATCATATATGTTTAAACGTTTAGTACCATCTGAGTCACTAATGATAATGGATATGTTTCACAGTTGGCTAGAAAATACTCACCCTTCTAAACACCTGCGTTGACCACTAGTTTTGATGAAAAGGGTCATCTTCTGTTGTTTATACTTTCAATGTTGAGTTATTTGCTCTTTAGTTTTCATTGTCTGTGTTGTCAACTAGTAAAATTCTTGTTTATTCATCGTTTAGTCATCGAAAATCTTACTTCATTTCATACGTTCACATTCGATCAAGTTTAAGATGATTTACATGTACCAATGGTTTTTACATGTTTTAAATTTTGTGATTCTAAGGATTAGAAAAGAGACATTTATAAATCCACTATTATATGATATATGCCTAATAACTGGATATGACTCATCAATCTATTTAAACAAGAGCACCTAAGTAGGTGTCACTTGTTGAACAAGAACTGCATACTTTTTTAAGCACATGAGATCATTCGCGGATTTCAGTGGGGTTGGTTTTGCTCAATTTAAGATTTTTGTTTAGTGATTTGTATTAGCATTTTTGGCGGTTTTTTATTCATGTTCTTATCTGGTTCTGTTTTACTAATGATTTTTGAGTGCCTCAGTATATTCTCCATCATTATATCATCTGAACAACAACACATTTTGACCATTTAGTGTTTGCCCCACTCCCCACTACATTTTAAACAGGACCGTACATAACATCACTGTCCCCGGCATTTTCATATACCGTGACTTTCTTTTTTATATCTGTCATCAACATTGTATTACCTCATTACAAAATGTTGATACCTCTATGATAAATGTCAAATAGGGTATATACCATCCGCATTCACTCGAAGTAGCACTCGGGGTAAAAGGCCGAAACATTCCCCAGCCTAAAGTTTTCATATGCTTTTAGAATGTTGTGTTTTTGCTTTAAAACCGTTCATGGTGCACAACATCATGGGGATTACCTGATCATGTTATATTATTTCAAAGGTTGGTTTAATCTTGTTAATTACTATGGCCATTGCTAGACAAAACACTATTAAATGCTTTAGTTGTACGATATTGATAGTCAAACTGATTGCCCCACCTTTTCCTTTTACAAGTGTGTAATTCTACACTTGGGCTTGATCTACATTTACCATTTTTAAATTACGTTTGCAACACTTAAACTGTATAGTTGAATGGCATAATATAGCGCAGGGGTACTGGAAGCCATAAGTTTGATGAAAAAAATGCAAAGAACCAATGAATAAGCAGTATAATGGAACCTTGTACGCCTAGATGGAACGTTCTCTTTATGATCTCACATCAAAATGTCCAGTTCAATCTTTAATGTCGCAGAGCAGTTATGGTTACGCGGACTTTAGATTTCCCTCTCATTACTCCATTCTTTGAATGTTACATAGTTCTCACCAGGGTCTCGTTCCTCAGTAAAAATAATTTCAGGATCTTTGCATAAGAATGAAAAGTACACCTACTGAAACCTCACGGAAATGTCTTGTTCATGATGCATGAGAGACTTTGAAAAGACTGCTATTCATTAAGTTCTATGTTTCCATGATCAAACGATTGTTCAACCATTGTTTTCTAAGCAATCACACAAGGTTCTCAACGATACCATTTCTATATAAAGACCTTAAACTAAACTGTTCTTTATCTGCACGAAATATTTTGGCCAGTTCCACTTACCCGATTTTGCATAAGCAAAAAACAATTGATCACAAGTGATAATTGATACATGTCTCAGAAAAGATTTAACACATTGCTAGATTATATTCATGGAATGTCGAATGAAATATCGAAACTGTCGTAAGATAGAACGACTCGTTAGTCGTAGTTGAACTGTTGTTGTTTTCAATATTGTCCATGGCTGCGGTTGGAAGGAACCATGTATTCAATGTTGAATTTTTCATAAATCTAGTACTGTAGATTAATGGATGAATGGATCATTCATAAACAACAAACGTAAACTATACATTTTGTCATCTAATACCTCCTCATTTCCTGGTCCTAGCACCCAGAAGAAGACCTATATACACAATGAAATTGTTTGAATTCAGTTGAATGTAATGTTAAATAATAATAGAGAAATAAAACAGACGTAACTTTGAAATTGATAATGTCATATTTGCCTCAATGGAATAACTTGTCTGCATCTGAATATTTGGCCAACCGATTATCAATTAATGTTTTTGATGACTGTTGAAAAGACTTTTGTCTTCATTATGTCTTCTTGAACTACCTGCATGTGCAGCTTTTTCAAGTATCGTTGCATACAAACAGATTGTTGCGGTTGGTTGTTTAATTGAAAACCAAAAGAATAACTAAACAGAAGAAGCATGCACCTGCCTTGTTAATGGCCTGGTAAGCCTGATATAACTGCAATTTTTAGATCATTTCTATGGCCTCTTCCAGTTGATCACAAAAGAAAACTGTTCGACTCGAGAAGTACACATTAGAGTTAAGTCTAGCTTAAATATTGAAATAACGTCAGTATCTATACATGATCACTCTTTGTAGACTACTGTTCTGCAAGAATAGTACCGTAGTAACGATTTTCTATACTTACCTCACAAATCTGTTTATGTTTGACTTTAGTTAATAAATGTGGCATACACTTGGTGTTATAGAGCACTTAGCTTTGCTGAAGTTACGTCAAAACAAAACACTTTGTAACCTTCTATAAGGGAATGTTGTCGATTTTGATATCTTATGACGGCTATTTTGGAAAATCTGAGCAAAAATTTCAGAGGTAGATTTTTATAAATATGTAATAAAAAACAAACAATATGAACATATCAAGTTCACTGTTTATATACTGGATAGCAAATTTAAAAATAGATTAAATTAGATTATGTAAAAAAAGTCCAATGACAAAATTACGTTAAACAGAGATGAAACATACCAACAGGATATTCAAACTCATCAGTCGAAAACAAACTGACAATGCCGTCGCACAACACAACAACGTAAATTAAAAACCGATCAACACGAATCCCACCTAAACCCAGAGGTGATCTCAGGTGCTTCGGAAGGGTAAGCAGATCATACTCCACATATGGAACTCGTCCTGTTGCTTACGTATGTACAAATCCGGTGATTAGTCTTATTCGGTAGGTCACATTCGAGGAAATGAGGACGGGATTGTGGTTACGACAATTGGAACAATTAACTCGTGATGGCGTCCGTAAAATTTGCGAAGGGATTATTTTAACATCACCACTTGGAAAAGTTGGTTTAATAGCTTCTTTGTAAGCAGCAATAAATCAAATTTCTTTTTTTTTCTTCCACTGTCTCTTTTTATGTCATTTACGAACAATAATATTCTTTAATTCTAATGGTTCTAGAATATTTTCATTTAGTTATTGCCAGTTTGTTACTTTTCCAGAATGCGAATTAGGATTTAGGTCGAGAAAGGGTAATTTCTGTGAACCCTGCCCATTTCATTTTTATGGTGAAGGCTGTGCGTATATATGTATGTGCAACGTTACACAAGGGTAAGAAAGATTATATTGATATTATATTTTAAACAAATTATTATAATTTTATTTGTGGTAATCTGTAGTTATATCCTAATGTTTATTTTTTCTTAGAATAATTTGTTGTTGATGAAATATCTGTAGTAGTTTACACTTATGGCAGGTCAGAGTAGCATATATATGGGATAAACGCTAGATTTGCCATAGAAACGATTAAGTATTTACGTCCGGTGACTTTCTGTTTCGGGTTTTTTTGGTTGATATTGGGATTTTGAAAGACAAATTCCCACACCACATTTTTATTCCTTTCATTTAGAGGACAACTTCTTTCGGCAAAACTATTATGGTTATTTTTGGGGAGGATATCGAGTCTTTCTCTAAGGTTGACTATATATAGGGTTGTCTTTATCGTTATTTCGGCTATAGCCTTAAGACAATTATAATGTAAATATTGCATATTTCGAACATTAAAATTTCGTAAGATATATATCAAGTGGAATATGAGCTTTTTACCAATCTGTAATACCGTACTTAGCCCTAAATCCAGTGGGAAGTAAAAATCAGACGTCACTATATTGTGTGGTAATAACAGAATAGACAACGAAATTGTCTAAAAGGACATGGGCAGAGCATTACTAAGTGTGTGGTGCAATTAAAAAGACGAATGGAAAAACAAGAAAGCATTCGCCAATGAGACACATCGATTAAAGGTAGATCGCTTTTTGTGACTAAGATTGAGGAAATATATTAATGTCTGAGTAACTAAGAAGTTTACAATATATTTATGAAATAGTTGAAATAAAAAACGTGTAAACGATACGTTTGTCTGTTATCACTTATGTTATGTACTTTTATCACTTTTCCTTCCAAATAACAGTTTGTTATGTCATGATGCTCTATTTGTTTAACCTCTATTCAAACCCGCATAAAATAATAATCTCAATGTAACAGTTATAAAAATTAGTTTTTGAAGGGTATTATACTCACTTTAAAGTATGGATGATAGAAAGAATTTTTTCCTGGCTTATCATAATTTTTATACTGATTACAGATGTGACAATGTTCAAGGGTGTATAGAGAAATATGTAGAGACTACAAGTACACGTATGTCAATTTTTATGTATTTTACAACTAAGAGAAACTGCACTACTTATTTATTGCATACCAAAAACTGTAATATGGGAAGATTGTTTGATACCTTTATTTATGTTATCAAAACTTCATAGACATTGATAACAGTATACATTAATGCTATAAGATTTAAAATATATTTTAAACAATGTTGATATTTTATAATAAAAGTCACCAAAAACAATTTGCAGTTTGAATGTTTGATTCTAGATGTTATCAGTATGATGAAACCTGTAAGAGGAGCGAAAGTTACCAAAGGGATATTCAAACTCATAAATCGAAAATAAACTGACAACATCATGTCTAAAAAAGAAAAAAAAAGACAAACAGACAAAACAATAGTACACAAAACACATTATAGAAAACTAAAGACAAAGCAACACGAACCCACAAAAAATGGGTTGATCTCAGGTGCATCAAGAGGGTAAGCAGATCCTGCTCTGCATGTGAAACCCGTGTCGTGTTGCATATGTTAGTACAAACCCGGGAAAAAGTCTAATTCTGTAGGTCACATTCATGAAAAGGGAACGAGATTGTATTTACGACATTAGGAACATATCCGCTATCTTTGTGAAACGGATATTCCATAACGGTCAACCAACTCGTGATGGCTTCCGTAAAATTTACGAAGGGATGATTTCAACTTCACCATTTGGAACTCTTGTTTTAATAGCTTCCTTATGAGCAACAACTCTCTATCAAGGAAATCATGATAGGAAATACAAGCCGAGGAATATCTTATCAATTGGGAAATATACTCCGTATGCAGGCGCTGCTGGAATGTTGCTACATAGAAATGGAAAAATACACAATTGGAAAGCTGAAATCATCTCTCTTTTATCGTAAAGTTTTGTTTCTAACCGACGCTCATTGTTAATTTCTAGATTTAAGTCAAGATATGAGTATATATTGTATCCTGTATCTCAAGTTAGATGGGATAGATGCGTTCAACAAAGTCACCAAATCTTGAATTATTTAGTGAGAGAACATCGATGATGATATTTTTTCTTGAACTGTCAATACCTAATTCTTTTATCAAGCAGTTGATGTAATGTGAATTATACACAAAAACGATGTTGTTTGTGTATTTATCTGCGGGAACGACAACATATTTGTCATAGGGGTGAGACAAGTGTTTTGCCACATGTAGGTCTTTAAAAATGTACCATAGGTATTGATAGACCCATTTAGTTTCTTAATTCTGATTTGTATCAACGACCTCACGGCCTTAATTCATTTGGAAAGAGCATATACGTCTTCTTTCTCGCGTTTAACCCATTGACTGGCATAATCAACGACCGAATCCAGGTCTTTTGAAGTTGTGTTTCCAATTGATGGATTTAGGCCATCGATATTTCGGACCTTTGGATAACACATTTCGCATGGAAGTGTTATTGACAATGTTGAGGTCACCGGTAATAACATGGTCAGCCGGATTATATATGACTGGGGAACTAGCATAGGTGCAATCAGGAGGTTAAGACTTGAAGTCGCCAATATTGAGATCCTGCAACACGTGTTTGTAATTGAAAACTTTAGTTGCAATGGGTTTGGTATAGGTATAAGAAATGATTGGTACAGACTGATCTTTCGATTGAACTAATTTATGAGTAAGGATATTGCCCAAGTTGAGGGCATCGAGACCTTTGTTGGCAAAGGAATGTTTAAGAAAGTATCTTTTCTCTCTTTCATCTTTTCTAATGCGAACTGGTTTAAAAAGTCTGTGACTTGCAATTTCGGAAATGAAAGTTGTAAGTTTGTATTGGTTTGAATGAGGGTTTGTAACAGTGGTTTCCAAACATAAGTTGTAGAGAGAATGAAGCTTTGAAAGGGGTAATGTATAAAGCTTCGTCCGAATGTGATGAATACCTCACGGCTTATGTTCAAACGGCAGCAGGTCATTAATAGAAACATCATGGAGAGTTGGTGATGTATGATGACGATAACAGTGACTGCGTCTGTATTCATGGATGTAATCATACGGGTTCTGACGAGGAATATAATTACTTAATTAAAATATAACTTCAAGGTTTTTAGAAATTGAATATATTCATACTTTGTTTTCAAATACATAATTGAAGCGTCAAATCCATGTAAAATTATATATTTTCACGAGAAATTTTCATTCTCAGCAAATAGAATTTTCTTAATTGCAAATAAAAGGTACACGAGGCATATTGTTTTTAAAAGTTTAACCATCTTATACGTACACTATTGGAAACATAGGTCCATTGTATCCTTTACTTACTGTTATGTGACACGACTGTCTTTTGTTCTTTGATACATAAGGAAATGTTGGATTCATGTATATAAAATCTTGAGGGTAACTATGACATGCAGATAATGTTGATGTTGAGATAACTTTATTTTAATTTTCTAGATAATATTAGGAATGGCCATTTAATGTGCAAAATAAAAGGATGTTTTAATAGTCTCTGTGGTTAACTAAGTAAAGACGTTCATCCGAAAACCATTTTGAAATTAGTCGAGTAAACAGAAGTTGAAACTTCCTAGACACGATTCTACATTTATTGCATTGTACATGTATGACCCTTGAAATTCAATCATTTTATCATTATATAGCTACCGTCTTTCTAACTGTTAAAAGCTTTTGCGACAATATTAATTAATAATTATTGATCTAGACGATAAATTGTGTAAAAAGACCTACCTTCAATGCGCAACTTGATATTTATGTATGTATATACTAAATCCTTAACCACATGTAGTTTTGTATAAATAGTGTTGAGTCATATAGTAAGAAGATAGAATGAATATTTGAAATCAAAGATAGAAAATCAAAATAGATTTATTATTCTCAAATGTACATGTTTAGATTTCTACATTAATATCACTATATTATGTATTATAAAAAAAAATTCTTGTAGAATTAAAAATCATTTGTGTTTTCTATATATATATATATCATTTATAACGAAAACAATTTCATTTTATTTTGTCTTTATGCTTTAAGTGACAACACATTCAAATATAGTTGAAGCTATTTCTTCAGAAGAAAGTGTGACGAAGGTGCACGAAGAAGAAGAAACCGACGGTAGAATTGAAGTTTATATATATATATATACATTGTAACTCGTCTAAAAATCAGCCCAACAATGTTAGATCTGTAAATTTGCTTTCGCAAATGTTTTGTTCTTCCCTCGCCGGGATTCGAACTCATGCTACTGAGATATCGTGACACCAAATCGCCTGCACTGTATCCGACGCGCTAGACCACTCGACCACCTAGGCTTCGTATATATATATTATGTATTGATAATAAATCAAAGGCTGCAATTATTTCATGTGTACCAATTAACACAGAACAGCATGAACTTTGACTCACTTTAAGGTAGTAAGGCTTACATCAGAAGAAGCTAACCTAATCTATGATAATTTTCATTTATGAATTTAATAAATGATAATATACAATGAAATGTCTGCACATAATAGTCCGTTGATAAAAACATATATTCAATTGATAAAATATGCCCTTGCCCTATTCAATGTTTTTGGTTGCAGGACATTCTAGAGAATCTGAGATCACCCCATTTTTTTTTCATTAGTTCATTTTGATCCGTCTTTAGTTTTCTGTGAAGTGTTTTGTGGACTGTTTTTTACGGAAGCGTATTAGCGCCACACATTTTTTTTTAATATTTCTTCCTATGTTTGCGTTATAACGCAAACCTTTGCAAAATAACGCAAACCTTTGCGATATAACGCAAACCTTTGCATTATAACCCAAACCTTTTGCGTTATAACGCAAACATTTGTTTTATCTTATTTAAGTTTCAAAGGAAGCAGCTGTTATCAATGGAGGAGGCTGCATATATTAAAATTTATCACCCTTTGTACTCATTGCAAAATTAAATGCTTGAATATTTAGAACATATCATTGATTAATAATGATCAGGATAATACATGTATATATTGAAGTTATACCAAAGAAAATAAAAAATCGACCTTGCTAATACTATATATAATGAATATACTTCCAAAGTAAGCTCTCGTTTTAACATTGTGTAAGGTTGGTTTGATCCAAACAAGCTACCTTTTGTAATATATGTATAAAATGAAGATGTTTTATTATTATAATTATGTTCTCTCTATTCACATTGCTACCCAAGCATCTTAAAGTTACCTCACTAGATTGAAATGAAAATTCCATGACTTTTTATCAAAGAATCTATCATATTCTAATTTTAAAACGATTTCTCACATCAAAATTTAAAAAAATGTTATTTTTTCTGAATAATTCATTTTTAAGCAGAAAGATCAATTTGTCTATTTGACGTGATAGTTTCACAATTGTATGACATTATTTTTGCTCTTATCTATTTAATCAAAATTTTCAAAATTTTGGCCTTTCACTTAAAATATGCCTATACCCTATCTATTTTCTTGTTAAATTATATAATTTTCTGATACAAAAACAATTCTTAATTTGTGTATAATTGCACCTCAAGTATTCCCTTATTCATATTCATATTTATTAGTAATGATTTGGCCTTATATTTATGGTTCTTCGCTTAACTTTATCACAACCGGAATTTAATGACAGAAGGACATATATACAAAACTTAATGAAAAATTGAAATCAAAATGTTTGCGTTATAACGCAAAGGTTTGCGTTATTTCGCAACTGTTTGCGTTATATCGCAAAGGTTTTTTTTTTTGCTTAAATGTTTTGACTGTCCCCTTTGTATCGTCTGCATCTTTTTGCAGTAAAATCTTGAAATCCTTACTACCCAACTTCTGTAAGCTGTTCACATTGTACAAGAAAAACTTCTCGCTTTGTCTAATATATCTAAGAAAATGACATAAACCAAATTTAGTCTTTTATTTATTTAGTTTGAACAGTAAATTAAATATCAGTAAGAATATTTAAAGATAAGGATATGTGATGTGATTGCCAATGACAATTATCCATCAGAGTTCAAATAACGTGGATAGCAGTAACGGTCACAGAAAGGTTTTTGACAATGAGCAACATCAGTACCATATATTCATTACAAAGGCCCATAAAAGAAAACATGTCATGCAGTTCAAATGAGAAAAACCAAAGGCGTATTTTTTTACAGAACAAAAATAAAATATGGCAGACACCAATTAAAGACACACCTCTGAATTACTGAATAAAAGATGTAACGGGATGAATCACACGTGTGAGCGATCAAACAAGACAGTGATGTAACACCACATCATAAATTGAACAGTAAAAATCAGTTGAAATATGTTTACATGTAATTGATAACAAAACAATTTAATTTCGTAGGTTTATCAAAAACAGAACTACTAATCCTATTCTGTGGAGCCTTATCTGGGATTATTGTTTTACTAGGAATCTTAGGAATTTCAAACTGTGTCAAGAAACGTAGATGTCTTTCGAAATCAAAATGCAAAAACACTGTCGAAGAAAGTGGTGGTAAAGCAGAAGAACACACAACACAAGAAACTTTGGAACTCCATGAATGCCTATACGAAAGCATCGACGATAGTCATTTGGACAGCATATTACTTCCCATTACATTTAGTTCTAATCTTGAAAAAGACTATGACTCGTCCAGTTCTGAAAGTATAACAAATTGTAACGAAACTCTGGCCTGTTACCAACACCCATTTACCAGTCTTGGTACAAAGGAATCCAGTCATAAGGACGAACAAAGCCAAAATGCAATTCCGTCTACGAAAAAATATAATTGTATAGTAGATCAAAGTTTATGCAGTACCTATCCGCCAATAGAAGAGGACGCTTCGGGTTATGAAATTTCAGTAGATTGCACGTATGACCGAGCAAGCTACCTTCACCGGAACAATACTTTAGTCGACAAGACTTCCTACTGCCACATCTCCGACATAAACAAAAGTAAACATCTTTCAGAATAGATGCAAGTTATCGACCAAACAATCATAATTGATGAGAAAAGAAATCAATGGAAATGGAAAAGAATATATAAAAATCCTAATTGTCCAACTTTTTTCCCTTTTGTTGTTGGATGTATCGTTATGATGTAGTATGTCGCATTTTTTAATATCTAAAAAGAAAGGGAATTTAGATTTCTGACTCCATATCTGTTTTATCCAGCGATCATTTATCAATGAATTAATAGTATATTACTCATGCAAATGCAAACAATCACGTCTTGCTTTCATCAGACTTGTTTTTTGTTTTTCTAACAATATTATATAAATTTTGCCATTATGCAGACATTTAAATAGGGATAGAAGGAGATGTAGGTTATAATTTAATGATAATGCAACCCAACGACAACAATAATTATAAGACATGTATAGGGCAACATACAGATTATAACGATCGAACAGTCAAATGATATGCAATATGTTAAATTGATCTTAGATGAATAAGACTACCTTTTTAGTTGCCTTTTTGTAATATCGCTAGTCACGTTCTCATGTCTTATATATTCTTAGCATCTTTATAGTTAAGACTTGAGCGTTTCTGGTGAAGGTAAATCCACAATTATTCTTCGGACGCACGAAATTGATAAATTGTTATTTTCATTTTAAAAAAGATCTAAACCACCTCGATCATTATTTTCATCGGTTGACATTTTTGTATGTCCACAGTATTTCAAAATTTTTTTATTCTTTATGTGAAGTTACCGTCATACCGAATTCATCCTCGCCACTGAGTGGTTGATTCCAATGGAATATTCCTAGTTATTTTCCTTAAAATCGACTATATATAGTATAATTGTGCACCTTTTAAGATTGTTCATTAGATTCAATAGTTTTCTATTTGAAAAAAAAAAACAATAATGGGAACAAGCAGAATATGTTATTGACGGTCAACGTGCTGTGCATGTCAACTTAACTTCTGAAATTTTGCTTTTTGTATTAAATATGTATATGTATGATTATTTTTAATTTGTTTTTGAAGATTTTTTTTTTTTTTTTATTTAATTACAAAGATTTTAAAAATGTTTCAGCATGCCTCATTCTGTTTGTGCCAATCCCATTCCATGAATTTTCATTCAGTGTTTGTCGTTGATCGCTGTTATATATGTTTTTCGGTTTTTGTTTTATACAGGGCTTTTTAAAGCTTACTTACTACAAAATGTTTATTGGGTTTTGCTCGTTGATGAAGGCTTGTGTCTTATGATGTTTTCGCTAAGGTTTGCTGCTCACTAGGAAGCCATTGAGTTGTTGCCATCCCTCGAAAAGTTTTATTGCGCGCTGATATGACGATAAGGAATGGTCATGTCACAATTGACCATGCATCTGTTTCAGGAACGTAGTCACAATCTCGTGTTGATGTTGAAATCACAGCTTTCCCATTTAAGATAAGCACAACCGGGTGTTTTTTTGTAAGGTTCGTTTTAGTGAGACTTCGCTTTTCTATATAGTGTGTTTTATGTACATAACTAAAATTTATACATATCACCATTACCACTCTCTTTGTACACAGTATTAATAAATCATACACCGTCAACTACTTTCCAATGTTTAAACTGATATTATCACTTCACAAATCCAAATGCGATCATGCTACATTTCAGTATTCTGAATTAACAGGAAATGTTCAAATCCATTCTTTTGTTTCATATCAAAAGCTTTTTTCAATATGTACTCTTAACTAGAATAGTGTGCAAGTGATAGTCTGATGCTTCATTGAAACCCCAATCTTAGTAAAAATTTATCAAAATCACTACTTTTCTCACTTGTAATTCTACCACAATCCCTGATGTTCAAAATATGCACATTACCTTGTTCACCATGTCACTTGCTACGTAACTAGCATATACCTTATCCTTCTAATATTGCTAATTTCCACACTCTCGTACTGAATTCATTTTATTATTCCTTGACTATCATAGCTATGTGTCTATAAAAGTTTTAAACAAATACTAAACTTCATTGCGTATTTAAAAAGGGAAAGTCTATAAAAACTGACAAAATCAATGTTGTGATATATTTTTATCCAATACCTTATCAAAGCACGTTTAGTATAAAAATGTCTATGTATTTTGAAAAAGTAGTTTAAACCGACTTTAAGTAAAGCTTGTTTGTATTTGTATAATGATCAAAAGTATTTATATTTTACTAATTTATGTGGTATCATAAGTCTAACAGCAGTAAACACATACTTTTCTTTTAAAGTCAGTTGAGCTATGTATATCTTATTCGTATAGTGTACAATTATGACTAGTGGTATGTTGAACAGATAATGATGTATTCATAAATAAACATATATGTGTAATGAAGTTGAACAATGTTAAGCACAGCTAATAAAAAGGTAAAATAGATTTAAAAAACATTTTGTATATATCATGTGTGTTCATGTATTTCAGTTGTTTGATTTTATTCTTAAATATCATCAATTACATGTTTAAAATACTTTGTAAATACTGTTTCTGTGCGTCACAATTAAACATGTATACTATTGTAAAGTGTCCAGTTACTGTACGTTAAATAGGGAATTTAAAGTTATTGTGTCATAGCAAATGGAAAATTTAAGTAACAAATTCTTTATAAAACTTTAATCATGTTTTAATTGTAGATTTTAATCAGAAAATATGAAATACACTTCTTCTATAAGGACGCTTTATTTACCTGTTTTATAAACTGGTTCCCTGTTTAAATAGTTATACTGTTTTATATTGAATTGATAGCAAGCTGTGTACATGTTAGTGATAAAAAGAGTTATCAAACTATTCATGTTTAATTTATGTCAATTGAGACTTTTTGATTTAAAGAAGTAAATGTTTTATAATTTTGATTACCTGGGTACATTGTTAGTTAAAGTATGAAGTCAGTATATGCGGCTAATGGTTTCGTACCACACATTGTGTTCAATATTTTATAGTTCTATTCTAACAATTGCTGAATTTAAAGTGTATTTAATTGATTATTTAACTTTTTTATTGTTTTTAACACTGATTTTATGTGCGCATTCAGAATGAAGTATCAAAACTTATAAAAGTTTTACTTATAAATTTATAAGCCATCAACATAATCAAACAAAGACCTATAGTCGTTTCTGTTGTTAGGTCTTCCTGTAAGCTTAGCTAAGAACTGCAACATATGTACAAATGCACCCGTACTGTAGAAAACATTCCAATTACACAGTACAAAACTTTACTCAAGAATGTGTTATCCAGGTGAACTAAAACTATATTAAATGGTTGAATAACAAAACAATTCCGAGCTTCACACTAAAACTGTGGACACGATTATCACGTTTATACCGGTATACTACTGTTGCCTTTATTTACAACCCTTTAAATCTACAAAAAGAAACATCAATCCTTATAATTATATTTTGATGCTACATTCATTAAATAACGAGTTAAATCAACTTTTTCGTGGGAAGATTACATACACGAATAAACAAACATTAAAACTTGTATCAATTATCCATGGATATGCAAGTCTTTACTAAAAATCAGGTACGTTTATATATAGCTACATTGTATTTACTTATGTTCTGGTTTTTTCTCAATCCGCATTTTGTGAGTCAAATAACTTCCAGGACATATACATAGCTACATTATTACTTTTGATTTAGAATTTATTTCATTCCATTTTTACTACTCACATATTGTTTTCGATATATAACATTTGAGTTTTTAAATTTCTATATTAGCTTTAAACATTTAAAGTTGTAATGTAAGGAACAATGCCTTTATTCTTAAAAAAAAATACAAAAAACAAACAAACAAACAAACAAACAAACGTATATTTCATATGACAAGCCCGGATTCTGTAAAAGTAGTGACATAAAGTTAACAAATATAATATGAATTCTTAAAAGACAATTCAAATCATCAAAAATATAACTCAGGACAACAAACAACGAGGATCCTGACTTAGAAAAGGATCATGAACATACAGTATAATTGTGTTAAACTAATTTGTTTAGTTATCACCATTCCACTCCAGCTTCCAATTAAAGTGTGTGGTATAATTTTGTGAAGAAATGCGATGTTTGTTATTAGGGGTTAATTTAAAGGGAGTTAACATAATATAGATAATAGAAGATGTGGTATGAGTGCCAATGAGACAACTCTCCATCCAAGTCAAAATTTATAAAAGTAAACCATTATAGGTCAAAGTACGGTCTTCAACACGGAGCCTTGGATCACACCGAACAGCAAGCTATAAAGGGTCCCAAAAATTACTAGTGTAAAACCATTCAAACGGGAAAACCAACGGTCTAATCTATATAAAAAACGAGGAACGAGAAACACTTATGAACCACATCAACAAACGACAACTACTGAACATCAGATTCCTGACTTAGGACAGGTGCAAACAATTGCAGCGGGTTTAAACGTTTTAATGGTACCAAAACTTCAACCTTATCTGAAACAATAGTGAAACATCACAACATAGAAAAACACACTATAAAATATTGATTGAAATGGCTTAACTCAATCAAAAGACACATTAACACCGGTGAACGTACACTGAACAAATAAATTTGATCTATGATACAATGCAAATACAAAATAAATAAACTGAGGGAAGAATAATTAAAGTAACATGTTATACCGCTGTGAAATGTTAAACAATTTCAGAAAAACAATAAACCCATATGGATTTCTGATTCTGACTAAAGTATTTAAAGCAAAGACAGTTAGAGCTTCAAAAGTCAACAAAGCTATTGACTTGATATAGCAAATTCACCTTTTTTTTGCGCTAAATTTTGAATAAATAAAATGAAATAATAACCTCTTACATATGAAATTCATTTTTTTGAAACAATTCATCAGACCTCATTTTGATGAATTCAGTGATATTGTCAACAAAAGCGTTTATCTGAACCGTGGTATAACATAGAATTTCCTACACCCTTTTTGCACACAACATTACAACAACTGATATCCAGTTGAGTTTAAACAAATGAAATAGAACTCTTTATTAGAGAAGGTATAATGGCCAAGCTGGTATTTTTGAATTGTGTACATCTGTTTCTATGGACTTTAAAAAAATTAAATCTAGGTCTATAGTTCAGGATTTTTGTGCATCTCATATACGTGTTTGTACTTAAATTGATATTATAATATGGAGTTTCGAGATATTTGTTAAGTTTGAATTAAAGACAAATTATCACACAACAGCCAATTATGGAAGGTGCAAATACATGTGGATTTATTTTTTGGCATAAGCATAAATTTCGCCGAAACATAATTCCAAAGAAAAATAATCTTTTTAAAACATTAATTTGCATCTTTGCCCTGCCAACAGTTACTAGGGAAAAACTCCTACCAAAAAATGGGCAATAATTTCAACGAAAAAAGAAAGTCAGATACACCTTTTTATGTTCAAGCGTTTTGTCTATTTTGTCTTGAAAACGTATTTTTATATATGCTACATATTGATATATTAACATTAAACATTCAATGTACAAAGAAATGAAGTATACGGATAAAGCGAAATACCTTTTTAGTTATTCTTAAAAACAGAGTTGGTGTGTTCGAATAATAAAAAAAAAGCTTCGTCTTTTGTATTTGTATACAACTCGAAATGATGTGTTTGTGCGCCATAGTTTCAATTGGACTTGCGATTTGACTGCCTTAAAACTTACCATTGTTATACATTTGTTTGCACTGTTTGATAATGAGTTCCAATCGTTTATAGTTTGTGGAAAAATAGAATGTTTGTAAATGTCAGTATTTGCTGATAAAATTATCAGTTGTTTTTAGTTTGTAGTTCTTGATGGTATGTTATTTAATTCAATATGATTTTCAAAGGGGATGGCTACCAGATCGTTCACTACTTGTACAGTAGTACAAAACGCTTTTCTCCTATTCCTGCTACATAAGGTCCTCCATCATGGAAGTGATACTTCTAGTGCGCCTTAGGTCTTTGCATACGAGCCTAGCCGACCTTCGTTGAATGCTCTCTCTACGGTTCATATCTTTCTTTAGGAATGATTACCCACATAACACAATTGTGTTACCAGCTATGCCATGGTTTTTGTTTGGTTTATGTAGTAGTTTTCGGTGAGGCACGGTTTCGAATGTCTTACAAGTATCAAGTATTATAAGATCAATTTGCTTCTTGGCATCGAAATATATCATGATGTCGTGCATCGTTCAAAAAAGCTGACTTTAACAGGAATGGCCACTACGGAAGCCGTGTTGAAGTGAGGTAGGTATATTATTTCTTTCTATGTGGTTTAGGATAGGTTTGCACAATATGTGTTCAAGAAGTTTACAGCAAACACATGAAAGCGATACAGGTCGATAAAATGTAGCTGTCTATCAACTTTTGTTTATTATCGGGCTAATGTTCGCATTTCTCCAGTGAGATGGAAGTTTGCCTGAATTTGGAACATATGAGTTTCTTCTAGAGCTATTGAACACAGATGTAGTCCTTTCTTTGAAATGCCTTCTGGTCCACTAGCTTTATTGGTATTTAAGTTTTTCAGAAGTTTTTCAACTCTTTGAACATCTATGTTTATGTTTTAAAGACTGGGATATTTCGATTTCTGTGTTTGTGTTAATAGGACTGACGCGCTTTCCTTGGTTAAGACTGACTTAACTTGTTCGTTTAATAGCTCGGTCTTAGTTTTGCTGTCCATGTATAGTATTCCGTTTAATTTTATTTGCAGCTACACCTATGTTATCAGTATGTTTTGACTTATCGTATCGCCAGAAATGTTTACTTTTGCCTTTCTCTTGTACCGTATCAAGTACCTTGTTGACATGTTGACAATGAGGTTGTCGTACAGCTTTTTAGATGGCTCGCCTTTATGGTGTGAAATTTACATAATCTTTAGGATTTCCTGTCTTTTTAACTTTCTAAAACAGTTTGTGTTTCCTCATAATTTTCTTTTTCACAGTGTTTGATAACCACGGTAAACTATATCTCGTATTTATTTATTTCTTTGGTACATTGATATTTAGTATTGTATCTATACTTTTTTATAGGTTGGTTCATTTGTCTTAACAGATGTGTTACTATTGATGATATCCGAGCCTAATTTAACAACATCGGCTTTGATCTCTTTCCATTTCACTTTCTTGTAAATAAATATCTCTCTTGGGGTTGGTTAATTTTGGTCTTACTACAAATGTTAAAATTCGATATGTATTTCTTAATTAGATATAAGAAGGTGTGGTATGAGTGCCAATGAGACAACTCTCCATCCAAGTCAAAATTTATAAAGGTAAATCATTATAGGTCACAGTACGGTCTTCAACACGGAGCCTTGGCTCACACCGAACAGTAAGCTATAAAGGGCCCAAAAAATTACTAGTGTAAAACCTTTCAAACGGGAAAACCAACGGTCTAATCTATATAAAAAACGAGGAACGAGAAACACTTATGAACCACATCAACAAACGACAACTACTGAACATCAGATTCCTGACTTAGGACAGGTGCAAACAAATGCAGCGGGTTTAAACGTTTGAATGGTACCAAACCTTCACCCTTATCTGAAACAATAATGTAACATCACAACATAGAAAGACACACTATAAAATATCAACTGAAATGGCTTAACTCAATCAAAGGACATATAAACACCAGTGAACAAACACTGAACAAATAAATTTGACCTATGATCCAATGTAAATACAAAATAACTTTATTTTCGTTCTCTTATTATTCAATCAAAATTTAGGCACACGAATTATCTTATTTATTAAATGTACTAAAAGAAAGAAAAGTCGAATACTTCGTTCATAAGCACTCTATCAAATGTTTACTGAAAGCCCTTGACTGCAGAGTTTACGTGTAGATCAGTTTGATGCATAACTTATCATTTTATGTGCGTGTTATGTAGGGTAATTGGTGTTAAAACTTTGAAACGGTTTAGTCTGCCCTTCCACGAAATAGTTCATTAGATTTTTCTCGTGTTTTTTTTTAACTTTCAAAAATTCCACCTGACAACCGATCAGACAAAATTTTAAGTTGACAAAATGTCTAAAAGTACATTAAATGATGCTTAATAGCTACAAAAGAGAGGGAAAAGATACACAAAAAGGAATCAACATAATTATTCGAAGACAAAAAATTAATGTTGATAGAAAAAAATTCTTTCGATTTTATGCATATTCGTTTGCATCAGTTTTGTGACTGTATTATAGAAGCACCAAAACCTACCTTAACGATAATTATTGAGCAGATATACAAATACAGAACCCAACCGTTTCTTCCTTTAGTTGTAATCCGTGTCTGTCATTGTTTCTAATATATTGTTTAATAATGGTAAGAGAGAAAAAGCAGAAGCTTTCGCATTTCAACAAATTCAACACATTCCAAACAGACGCCAATTATTCAAAACAACGACGTGAAATGAAACTATGCGAATTCATTTCAATTCATTCACGTTATCTTGAACCCTTGACTGCTTTTATCACGTTTCCAAAATAAAAACGAAGTACTTGGAAACAAATGGTTGAATATAAGTCAAAAACGGACAGTATATCATTTGTAATTTCATAGTGAATATATATAGTATTTTGCATTCTTAGCTCATGAAAGAATAAGTATGCATCATATTATTTTTTTTCAGAGCTCGTGTCATGTGGAAAGCAAATATCATCGATAGGTTGCGCTCCCTCTATTTCCATCGGTAATTTTTCAAAAAGATTGTTAAGAAGAGTTAAAGCTGTCTCATGTCGCCTCTCAGTTTAAATCAGAATTTACAAACTTTTACTCTTGAAATACCGGTTTCATTTTGTTATACTGTACCGTTTTCCTAAATATGACTATGTGCAAACATAAAATTAATACGAGATCATTATTTTGTTAAATACAAATATAAACGTTATGTGCAATGACTTGGAGATTTTGTCCTTTTTCAGATGAAATAAATCCTTGTACAGAACTGAAGATGTGTAAACAAATCATAATGCTGGCGTCAACAATGTTTCTTGTGAGTAATTCGTAGTTTTCATTTACCTGGTAAGCATATAGGGACAAACCCTAGTTTTGGAAAGCCGAAATTTCACAATCGATGTAAAATATATTTACAAAAGAGAGAAAAATAACCATTATATCTTTCTTCATTCACAAATATTATAGCAAAATTCCTTTTTTATATTATCATTATCATAATCATTATCATGGATATTGATAAACATTAATTTGTCCATGTCCCACGAGAGTAACCTGACACAGTTAGTGATTGTCTCAAGTTATATATTAATGTTTTTATTCATGGTTATTTGTGGTGACGGTAGTCTTTTTGTTGAAGTCAGAGCGGGGGAAACAAGAACGACATGAATATCCCGGCTTTCATATTTGACGATGATATCGGGGTTTACTTTAATTCTACCATTGGGATCCCTCGGTATAATATTTCTCGTGTAACAAACTATCTATTCAGGAAATCATGATAAATGACACAAGCTCTTGAATAGTGTATCATATTGGAGATATATATATTCTATATATAGGCGCCACTGAAACGCTGCTAGAAGGAAATGCAACGTTCACAATGGGGAAAGTCGCAACCAATTACTTTGAAAAAAGGTACCGTTATTGTCCCTGAAATTCCCCTTTTATATCTAAAAATTTTATAAAGGAGTCAATTAATTCTTTTTTATTAGATAACATTCATCGATTGGTGCATACATTGTGAGAAAAGGGCCATAAATAACGTGAATCGCGCATATAAAATTTGGTATTTCACTGTTATGAAAACATGGCACATATTTGAATGATTTATACAACAAAAATTAAGTCACTCCAGTAAATTTGTATATTCAATAACAAAATTTCCGTTACAATGCACATACTATTTGCAGGAAAAATGCACTACAAATAAATATAACATGACGTAGGACAGGATTCCCAGAAATATCAGAAATAGCGATTTGAAGCGTAATGATTTCATTTTGTTTTTCTTGCAATTTTTAAATACAAGTTTTACATTTCCCAATCAGTTTGACTGACTGTAATCGAATATATATATATATATATATCTGTACACATAGGATAGGAATCTTAGAAATATCAGAAATACCAATTTTGATTTTGATTTTTTTGCAATTTTTAGATACAATTTTTACATTTTACCATTTTTTGTCTGACTCCGATTGAATATATATTGAGAAATATGAAAGTTAAATAAAATATATTTTTTTCGATATTTAGACACATTTCGAAAGTCATGCCGAAAGGTTGCAAATTTATACGGGACTATATACAACTGTCATACAAGTAGGAAGTAAAAACTAGCTATAAAACCAGGTTTAACCCACCCTTTTCTTAGAAAATATGTGTGCAATAAATTAGGAATATGACAGTTGTTTTCTAGTCGCTGAGTTGGCTAAATATAGTCAAGCATTGAATTGTCATGTCTATTGGCCTGCCCCCTTTTGTAATTTGCGTTTGAGTTTGTTATTTTTGTTTATATATGTTTTACGTACATACCATAGTCTCAGGCAAGACCATATGAGCCTGAGATACTGAAAACACACTTGTCCCTTATTGAACTCACGCCTTTTGACTACTAGATATCATTTGGTTATTTTATGTGGTTGGATTGTGGAATCATTCTGTATGTTTGTTGATATCCATATTTGTTTTTATTCATACGCTTATGTGCCTTTTTACATTTGATTGCTCTTCTTAAGTCTCGCTGTTTCCCGATTAGCTGTAAACAAAACAAACATTGTTCCTTATCTATAGCTTAATGATTATTGTTTTATTACAGTTGTTGGTCAAGTCAGAGATCAAAGTTAAATGTCCTTCAGGAAAACATTGGAACTTGAGGGCAAAGTCATTTTGTTCATCTGTAGAGCAATATACCTGCTTGTTGGATTATGTAAACAACGTTGATAAAGAAAGCTGCAATGGACCAAAAACTGAACCACCTGGTTAGTAATGATTCCCCTGTTTACAATTAAAAAAAAACAATACAAAATTCATAACATTTTGGTCAATTAAGGTTTGAACCAAACTAAACAACATCTATGTACGTTTGGGCAATACATTTTATGGACAGATAATAGATATAACTAAAGGTACAAATTGTGCCAGTTAGAATGGAAACGTTATATCCCTCATGAAAAGAGAGTGCCACAATATCTGAACGTTTATAAACCTTGCAACAACTATTTGTGATGTCGGTAGATGGCCTGTCGCAAGTAAAAAATGCTGTCCATGTCCAATATACTCTCATTTTTTCAGTGGCGGTTCTTATTTCCCGATTTTTATTCCGGGCAATCCCTATTACAGTACCAACTTTTTGTATTTATTGTCAATTTATTCTCGTCTTAAACATGCATGAAATATTCGCCACTTGACATTTGAACATTGGTAAACTGCAGTCGCCTTATTGTATCCAATTATAGAATATAAAGCTTTTCTTACCTCAAAATTTTAAAACTAGGAATGAAAGAATGAATAAAGAACGCTGATTTTCATTTTGAATCGATAATTTAATGAGAGAAGCGTTAAATAAATTGAATAACATAACCGAGGCGAGGGTTATTCGGCAGATTGTTAAGCCTCGCCTCGGTTGAAAATGTTTACTTGTGGTATCATTTTATTGTACTTTCTGTCATGTGTTTTATATTGTTTTCTACATTGGCCAAATTTCTATAATATGCAGTACCATATGTACTTCATTCACTTTATCTCATTGATATTTTTTTTCAAAAACCTGCAATATTATGTTTCTGCACAATATTTTCTATATTCATCTTTCCACAATTGGGCTTACCTTTCCGGAGCACTCCCAGTTTTCGGTGGGGTTCGTGTTGTTCAATCTTTAGTTTCTAATGTTAAGTTTTGTATACTAATGTCTGCCTTTTGGTCTTTTCGTTTTTTTGCCATGGCGTTGTCAGTTTTGTATTCGACTTATGAGTTTGAATGTCTCTTTGGTATCTCTCGCTTTTTTTTTTAAAAGCTTTTAGCAACGAGCGGCTTAAATTCTTGTTACACAATACAAGCATGCATAATGTACAATGTTCTTATTTCAAACAAAAACAACCAGCCAAAATGTAATATACAACATTTTATCTTTGTTCATCTCACTCAGTATTCATGTACGATACACATTATTGGAATGTACTACACTATGCGTGCTTTCTATGGATCTGCAAAGTAGTTCTTCAACAACAAAAAACTAAAATAGTTTTTATAAAAAATAATACGGTTTAGGGCATTTCCCTGTACTTGAGATGCATCAATAAAAACTTCGAACATGTGTTATTTGTGATATATTAAATTTTTTGTCAGGCATTTTGTATATTTTGCATATTATTGATTGACAATAAAATTCAAAAACGTATGTTAATACTGAGAAGTTTAGAAGTGTATGCAAATGTTATTTTTGCGATCATTGTAGGCGAACTATGTTTGGTTTTCATACAGTCAAGTATTTTCTGAAAAATGTAATGTTAATAAGTTCGAAATGTTTTGAAAATAATTTGATAAATGTTTTTTAACATTGTACATGTTGTATAAAACAACTTTTTTTATTTATTCAGGAGACAAAACAGTGGTAAACAGCGGAAATTTTGACACCGAATCATGCTTAATGGAAAGATTCCAACCCTTTTCTTTTTTTACATCTCAAGGCAATAATTGTATTTACAAGAAAACAATGTGTATTGAAGAAGGACAACTGATTTATAGCAATGGAACGAGTGTATACGACAGAAAATGCAGATGCGATTATACAAATAATTTTAGTTTTGTGTCGAAAAAAAGAGTTGACATGTGTTCTTGTGATCCAACAAACGAAGACTGTTCATGTTTCATCAAACTGTGCAGCGTAGGACAGATTTTGACACCTGGTAAGAATGCATGTGCAGTATATGTATTATGTTGGGTCAGTTATTAAGGATGATTATTCTAACTATGCGGTCATAATGTCTTTATTATAATTTATACGTCTAAATATTTGACAACTTTGTGTCAGACATCCTCTATCGACTTACCTGACTTTAACAAGCTAATATAAAAAAGAACAAAAATGCAATGTCCTCCTCTCCTTAGGATGGGAACCTACGATACTTTATGTGATAGTGTGATAATCCCGATTGTCATTTGTAATGGGCCCTTGGTCACTCTTCCAACTAAGCTTTATTAATGTAAAACTTCAGTTAGTCTCCTCGATTACATTACAGTTAACATAGATAATATACCGTTCAGATCTTTTGTTTCTGAATTACTACGGCTCTTCCATATAAGGCGTTTTAATATCACACGTAAATTAATTGTATTTCATAAAGTTTGACATGTAAAAAACATTATCTCTTTAAAACAAACTTCTCAGGGATACTTGCACACCGCGCAAAAATTCCAAAAGAAAAATCGTAAAATTTGAAAATTTGTACTGCTCATGGGGCTTATATGCATCATTTTTTGTGGCGTTCTGTCTTCTTTATGGACGAAAAACAGTATATTGAATTATATTTTCTATCAAAAACATTCAGATTTTTAGATTTTGATGATATCTAAAGAATGCTTAAATACTAAAAAGATATTTAAGATTAAATATTTTTCTGATGATTACGATTATCGATCGTGCATATCCCATCCAAGTCTTTAAACGTAATCACGTGGTCCATTATCCTCCAGATATATTAATACTTTGAATACTTTACAGACTACCAATGTGTCAAAATTGAGGATTCCTATGGAAAGTTTGTTTGTAAAGATATTGAAATTCAATCGTAAGTAAACTTGTAATGAATGCTTATAATATGGCGCGTTCTTATCAAGTAAACATATAAGTGCACACTTGGAATAAATCATATCCTACCATGTAAATAAGTTATCATTGGGATTTTAAAGCTTATTACATATAATATGCGTACAATTTTCTTTAAAAAGTGCTCTATATATATATATTAGAAGATGTGGTATGAGTGCCAATGAGACAACTCTCCATCCAAGTCAAAATGTATAAAAGTAAACCATTATAGGTCACAGTACGGTCTTCAACACGGAGCCTTGGCTCACACCGAACAGTAAGCTATAAAGGGCCCCAAAAAATAACTAGTGTAAAACCATTCAAACGGGAAAACCAACGGTCTAATCTATATAAAAAACGAGAAACGAGAAACACTTATGAACCACATCAACAAACGACAACTACTAAACATCAGATTCCTGACTTAGGACAGGTGCAAACAAATGCAGCGGGTTTAAACGTTTTAATGGTACCAAACCTTCACCCTTTTTCCTGAAACAATAGTGTAACATCACAACATAGAAAGACACACTATAAAATATCAACTGAAATAGCTTAACTCAATCAAAGGACATATAAACACCATTGAACATACACTGAACAAATAAATTTGACCTATGACACAATGTAAATACAAAATAAATAAACTAAGGGAAGAATAATAAAAGTAACATGTTATATCGGTAAGAAATGTTAAACAATTAAAGAAAAACAATATGCTCGAACAAAAATACCATCCATTTGCAATAACTTTAAACACAGGTAAATGAAAATAATTTTGTTGTTAGGTATACCTGTACAGTACCAATAGAGAAAGGAAATATTTTTACAAAATAAATAAACTAAGGGAAGAATAATAAAAGTAACATGTTATATCGGTAAGAAATGTTAAACAATTAAAGAAAAACAATATGTTCGAACAAAAATATCATCCATTTGCAATAACTTTAAACACAGGTAAATGAAAATAATTTTGTTGTCAGGTATACGTGTACAGTACCAATAGAGAAAGGAAATATTATTACAAAATAAATAATTTTGATGTTCATAGTGCGAAGTGAAAATTTATAGTTATACCAAACACTTATAAAAGCTGGTATATAGACCAGATATAACCCTGAATAACATTAAATAACAAAAAAGCTATACAATTAGTATCAACAGGTCAAATAAACAAGAAAGTACGATTTGAGAGTACTCGCAGTTACTGACAGCTAGTTAAAAGCCAAAACAATTAATACTAAAAAATCATGCATCAGAGACTAAAATCAACTAAAACACATCCCAGGGATTTAGTATTTTAACGTCATGGACAGTCAAAGAAGACATGACTAGTGCAATGCCAAAAATAAATGTATCGACAGACAGTAGGATAGTTAGGAGTTTAACCTCTTTATAGATCTAAACGAACGTGGGTGTGTGTTTATACATCCCACTTGAAAAAAATACAAATTTAGTTATGTTTTAATTTGCTGATGACAAAATCGATATTAGTGCCAATGTAAACTATATTCAAAGATCTAATTACAACATTGGTAAGATAACCTTTACTAAAAAGCCTGTTTAAAGGTTCGATGAGTTTACACGGATCACATAGTGATTTCCGCGCTTTAAGTACAATATTACCGTAAAATTTAGGATGTGAAATACCGTTTTTAATCAGTTTTCTACAAGTACAGCCAAATTTACTAATCAAATCTTTGTATCTATGAAGAACTTAGCAAAAGTTTTACGTAATTTATGGTAACGAAATCCTTGATTTAATAATTTACCAGTGATCCATTGATTACGTTCGTTAAAATCTATGACATCACTACACACACGGGCATAACGAACCAGTTGGGATATATATACACCGTATGATGGAGCCAAAGGAACATCGCCGTTTAAAAAAGGAAAATTAACAATAGGGAATGAAAAATCGTCTCTTTTGTCGTAAATTTTCGTAGTGAGTTTTCCTTTAGAGATTGAAATGTCCAAATCCAGAAAAGGACAACTACTGCTGTTTATGTTAGATTTAGTTAAAGTAAGTTCTATTGGGTAAATTTCGGTAGTATATTTATTGAACTCTGGATTATTTAACGAAAAAATATCATCTAGATAACGGAAGGTATTGTTGAATGTATCAACCAAATGTAACAATGACGTGTCTTTACTGAGTTTGGTCATAAACTGAGATTCATAGCAATACAGGAATAAATCTGCTATTAAAGGGGCGCAGTTAGCGCCCATAGGAATACCTACTACCTGTCGATACATTCTATCGCCGAAACGTACATATATGTTGTCCAGGAGAAAATTTAAAGCTTCAGTCATATCTTCACATTTCCAGTAAGTGTATCTAGCATACTTTCCTTTTTCGTTACAGAAAAAGGCTTTAAACGAGTTAGAGCAAATAAATTTGTAATGAGATTTTTCAAAAGACCATTTAATCAAATATGAAAACTTTTTCTTGATAAGATTGTGTGGAAGTGTAGTATAGAGAGTAGAAAAATCATAACTGTCAACAGAATTAAAAGGACCATCAAAAGCATGTATTTTATCTAAAACCTCTAAAGAATTTTTAACACTCCAAAAATAATTAATACCATTTTTTTCATAAGCTTTATTACAAAAGTTAATAACAAGTTCTTTGATAGTAGTAAGGGAGGTAGTTAGAAGCACTGATAGATTAGTAGTAGAACACTTACTAGATGCGGAGATGAAACGGAATTTAATTGGTTTTTTTGTGCAATTTAGGTAACCAGTACATAGTAGGGACTTTCAAATGTTCGGAAAAGGCCTTAAGCTGGGTAGTGGCAGTGATATGCTTGTTTACAATTTGACTCTCTGTGGAGCGTACGGACCTGAATGTAGATGAATTTGTAATTTCGTTTTGGAGAACTTCCGTGTAGTATATGCGTCACACCACCACTACATTATTTGCAGCTTTGTCTGCCGGTACGAAAACAAACCGCTTTGCGAGTACTTGGAGTTTATTTTTTATTCTGGAAATGGGAATATCATGGACCCTATTACTAATTTCAGAATTGTTTTCAAAATGAGATATACGAATATTAACAGTATTCATAATTTTATTCAAATAACTGTCTAGAGATTTTTTATCAGATTTTTCACGTTTACACCAATTTTTACAGTAGACAGACAGAGCGTCTTTAATGATCTGACGACACTGTTTCCAATCTATTTTAGATGGATGACGATATTTCGGTCCTTTCTTAAGAAAAGTTATGACCTCACGGTCTTCGACGATGTTGAGGTCTCCTGTAAGGACATGACCATAGGGAACATATCTAAAACTAGATGTTTCACAATCTCAAGTGGAAGGAACATTATTTTCTATATTGACGTCTGATGTAACTGACGTATAATTAAAAATCAAACTTCTGCTGGTTTTTTTTATAAGAATACGAAATAATAGGTGGTTCTATATTATCAAAATATGGAGGTATTTGGCTTTGGATGGTAGAGTCATTGAATATACTAGATAAGTTAATAAAATCAATACCTCTATTTATATATTTTAATTTAAGAAAATGTCGTTTATGATTTTCAGGTTTATCGATACTAGGAAATAGCCTATGATGACAAAAGGCTGTAATAATACGGGTGTATTCATACATTGGGCTAAAAAAAGAAATTGTATCACACTCCAGAAAAATAGCATATAATTTACTTATTGGTATCTGACCCAGTTTGCATAATACTTGATGTCTGCCATTATTTTTTATTATAGATAACAGATCAGCAAGTGTATAATTTATACGATGTTTAATACGTTGATTACGGTTTTTGCGTTTGCCATGAGACCTTTTATTTCTAAGTCGTTTATCGACAATATTAATGACATCGATTGAAGTTTTAGTTATGTTCCCCTGTCCTAATATTTTGTCATTAAGACCATATTTATGGTGTTAAAATATGCAGCTTGCAAAATGAGTACTTATTTAACTGAAAGAATTAAAGCAAATTGATTGTATCTTGAAATAGAATATGAGTAAAAATTAATATCTTTATTATACTTTGTCTAGTTATTTTAAAAAAAATATATATAGTTATATGTGTTGCCAAAATAGCTTGCGTTGAAGCTGCAGGTTGTGCAAAATTCTGGTACTTTACACGGAAAATGAATTGTTATGTTCTTTAATTGAAAACTTATCGACATTCATTGTAATTTAAGAATCTATTATGAGTTAATAGCTCTTTTAGAATTCTTTAAAAAAAATCAAAATAAACTGTACTTGTTGCCATCAAACAGGGTCACAGTCAAATAAAATATTACATTTCTGAGTGGCCAAATGCTACGAACATTAAGTATTCATCCATTTTGTCTGGCCATTACATCATGCAAACGTGTTAAAGCTAAAGTTGAAACTACCTTAGATAAAGTTGACCGTAGACGTATTAAGCTGTTTTGTTGGTGTTTGCACTTTTGAGCGTTATTTGTTTGTTTGTTCCGAAAGTAAAACAGAGACAGGAGATACTAAAAGGATATTCAGACTCGTAAGACGAAAACAAACGGACAACACCATGGTAAAAAACGAAAAAAACGACCGAAAGACAAACAACAGCCTACAACACACAACATAGAAAACTAAAACTGAGCAACATGAACCCAATGAAAAAGTGATCTTATGTGATTAAGACGTGATGTGCACACTGAAATTCTATTTAAAGAATCTAGTTAGAAATATTGGCATTCAACTTAACCCCATTAATCATGGCCTTATTTGTTATTTAGAAGAACGAATAAATTGTTGAACACAAACACATAAAACAGTGCTCATTTTTTTATTACTACATGTCCTAGAACAGAATAAAATTTTAAAAATCTTCATTACGGTGTTTATCTGTTACTGTTATCTGTAAATACACTTCACGACTCTTCCTGTAAAATTATGTTCTTGGTAAGATAGTGAAATACATTGACATCAAAAACAATGATAAAAGTCTCGAATAAGGACTGTTTTTATTCATTTCAACATTATTTATCTGTACAACATCGTCAGAGAGAAGGTCATAATCATCCATCATAATTAGTTATCCTTTAAAGCTTGTAAAATTTGAATTTTTATCCAAATTGGGCTTAAATCCTCTATAAGATTCATTGACCCTTGACTCTTTGAATCTCGGGTCCAGTTAACCCCTAACTAATAGATACATAAACAGCCAATTAATCACACGGCCATGCCAAAGTAAATCGTAAGATATTTCAGAGTCAACACATCTTTCAACAAAAATAACTGTGAATTACTGTTATTTGTTGTAATTTAGAACACCAACTACTTGATCGATTCTTTTTATTCAATGAAATTGTATATTTTGTGTCGATAATCACAAAGAATGCGTCTTGATTGAATACATAAGACAAGACGCAATGTGTCAACATATACAACAGTTTAATCTTAACTTAATTCAGTCTGGTTATCCCGTAAACATATAATACAAACTACTTGTTTAACCCCAATACGTACATCGATTGATTAAAACATAATAAAATATGTATTGCTATCTAGGAATAAGCACGTAATGTCCTATATGCTGGGAAATTCTAATGTGGAATTTCACACACAGTCTGGCTTTTTCTCAACTGCTTAATCCTTTGAAACTGTAACGACGGATATATTTTTTTTCAGGAAAAAATATGGTTTCTTTATTAGTTGAATTAGTTCCACGAGTACTTAGAGATCGATATGTATTCTGTCTTTTTGTTATTTGGCTTTTTGTGCTTTCTGTTGATCAAATGTGTCAAGCCCATCCCAACTAGTTTTTACAGTGTGATCATATTTTGTACTGTTACATCACTGTCCGTAGGGCAGGATTGTGCGCCGACAAATATATTTAACCCCGCAAATTTCTGTATTTCCATCTCCAAAGCCAGGATCATGCAACCCAGTAGACCACATTAATAACTGTTTGCCATAGTTGTCTTAATTTTTGTTTTATACGATTACCTGTTATCGTTCACATCTTTGTACCTTTTTGTCTCATTGGCAATCATAACATTTTCCCTGATTTTGATATTAATTTGTGAGAATATAACTTAAGGCTACAAGTCAGAAAAGGTGGTAGTAGAAAAGGAAAAAAAGACTACGTTTGTCATAAATTGTGGTAAGAAGTTATCCTGAAATAGCAAAATATCTCAAATCGAAATGGATATTGATTTCATTTTCTTACAAACAATATAATTAGTGGATATATTTTTATTTGTACAAGAATTTTTAAAATCACTGCTTGATTTGGACCGTACTACAGACAGAAAACTCGATTTATAGTGGGATATCTGTCAGCTGTTGGACTCAGATAGTGTCAAATTACTAAGAGTTTAATGTCTGTGTTCCTTTTGTTCACTCAATTGTGTCAATAGATATAAGAAGATGTGGTATGAGTGCCAATGAGACAACCCTCCATCCAAGTCGAAATTTATAAAAGTAAACCATTATAGGTCAAAGTACGGTCTTCAACACGGAGCCTTGGCTCACACCGAACAGCAAGCTATAAAGGGCCCCAAAAATTACTAGTGTAAAACCATTAAAACGGGAAAACCAACGGTCTAATCTATATAAAAAAAGAGAAACGAGAAACACTTATGAACCACATCAACAAACGACAACTACTGAACATCAGATTCCTGACTTAGGACAGGTGCAAACAATTGCAGCGGGTTTAAACGTTTTAATGGTACCAAACCTTCACCCTTTTTCTGAAACAATAGTGTAACATCCCAACATAGAAAGTCACACTATAAAATATCAAGAGAAATGGCTTAACTCAATCAAAGGACATATTAACACCAGTGAACATACACTGAACAAATAAATTTGACCTTTGATACAATGTAAATATGAAATAAATAAATTAAGGGAAGAATAATAAAAGTAACATGTTATACCGCTATGAAATGTTAAACAATTTAAGAAAAACAATATGCTCGAACAAAAATATCAGCCATTTGCAATTTCTTTCAACACAGGTAAATGAAAGTAACTTTGTTGTTAGGTATACGTGTACAGTTCAAATTGAGAATTGAAATAATTTTACAAAATAAATAATTTTGATGTTCATAGAACGAAGTGAAAATTTATAGTAATACCAAACACTTATCAAAGCTGGTATATAGACCAGATATAACCCTGAATAACATTAAATAACAAAAAAGCATTACAATTAGTATCAACAGGTCAAATAAACAAGAAAGTACGATTTGAGAGTACTCGCAGCTACTGACAGCTAGTTAAAAGCCAAACACAATTAATAATAAAAAATCATGCATCAGAGACTAAAATCAACTAAAACACATCCCAGGGATTTAGTATTTTAACGTCATGTATAACGGAACTATACACAACTGTCACACAAATTGGGCGTTTAACTAGAATTGAACCAAGTTTAGTCCACCATATTCTTCAGAAAATATATGTACCAAATCAGGACAGTTGATTTCTATTCGTTCTGTTGGTTGATATAGTTTAACATTTAATTTTGTCAGGTTTTATAGGCTTCACCCTTTTTGAATTTACTTTGGAGTTCGATATTTGTGTAAATGCTTTTTTTTTGGTAAATGTCAATTTGACTTGTCTATATAATTTTGAACACATCTCTTTCAAGAAAGACATAATGTGACAATAATTCAGATATTGCAGTCAAAACTGTGTAAACATAAATCACAGACATACAACATAGCTGACTAAAAAATCGAATGATTGTACCCATAAATCTGACAAATACGCCAGCAAAAAAGATTTTGTAGTTGATAGTTCATACATAAATGTCCACATTTGAGAATATCACCCTTAGTCTTTTTTTCTATGTTTTTTTATCACTCCAGACAAAAGGGAATATTTTTGATTAAGAATAAGAATTTAAGCCCGTTGTCTTTTGCTGAAGATGGTATTGTGACCTTTAAGTATCATGTTTGCCCCGTAGAACGGAGGTTGTAATTTGTTATTCAGTTGCTTTCTTATTGACATGTTCACAATATCTTGTTTTATTTATATCCGAACATTTCTTTGATATTCTAATTATCTAGTGTACTATTGAAAATATTTCTTCTGCACCATGATGCTCACTGTCATCAAGTGAAAGTCTTGTTTTGTCAAAACTCAAAAAGAGCATTATGATATAAAATCGACAAATATAAATTTACAAGACACTGTTTTTTATCTAAATTTTGCCTGCCGATCAATTCAATTATCGGTTTTGATATATGACTTTTTTCTGATTTATATTGATTAGAAACATAAAATTTTAAGTCCTCAATTTCTATGATACTAAACACTTAAGCGAAAGTGGTAGTTGATTGGCTCTATAATGAACAGAAAATGATGCATGAATGAAGTCAATTAAACAGCAACTCCATAAAAGCTAAAAGCCATTCATGTATATAGATCCTTAGATATTGATATCATATTGGACAGTCAATTTATCGTTTTGTATTTTGTTAAAATAAACTTCATTTCTTTTTGTAAATTGGTGGCTCCGCTTATTTTACGCCTTACTCAATAGTCGTGACAACCTGATTTCAGAAATATGTGGGACTTGGCATATTTCACACAAATTTTGGAATAATTAGATATGAGAAACGCCTTACTACAGAAGATATTTATCAAAATTAATATTTCAAAAGGCACATTGTGGCAAAACATCATTTTCGATAAGGGCCTTTGTATACAAAATCTCAAAATGAGTTTTTTGGGGTAGTTTTTTTCATGTTTTTTCTGCATGAAGTTGGCAGATGTTAAGCAAATATAAATGACACAACTAAAAAATATAAACCTTTTTTGAAGAAAAATAAAACTAATATAAGAATCAGAAGAAGTGGTATAATTACCGATGAGACAACTCTCCAGCAGAGACAAAATGAAGTCGAAATTATCGCCTGGTAGGTTTCGTATGACTTTGACTTCATTGTCATGACTAATTTGGCAATGTAAAGTCTTTTTTGGTTTTGTCAGTTTATCAGATACTATAAGCAATTATTCGATTATTATGGTGTATGGAATGATTGGAAGGTGTACATATCTGGCTTTGTTCATCTGACCTTGAGCTCATTTTCATGGATGATTATAAATCTTTAGTGTATTTAATACTTGTAGTACCACATTCATATAACAGACTTTCAATCATGATAAGTAAAGCAGGCGAGACATTTCAGCATGCACAAACTCTAATCTCATATAATAAAAGAAAACTTCAACTGACGAGATTAATAACTTTAGACGGTTACTTTAACATGTAGTGGAGTTGATTTGGGAAATATTTGTATTTTCTCTGTCCCTTTTTAAGTTCTAGTTAACATTAATGTTGATATTAATTCGATTCACAGGATGTTAATTATGAATTATGAATGTGATGATAAAGGTATTATTCATATATTATTACAATAGTGATTAAGTTGACGTTAAAGTATTAATTTAAAACAATATTCTCCTGAATATAAAAAAAAAAAAACGTTATTGATCGTTTTCTTACAGAAGTCAAACAAAAGCTGAAAAACGTAATAGAACTATAAGAACAAATGCAAATCAATTGGACGTACAGAATGGAAAGAGCATTGGTACATACAAAATGACTTGCTTTAATCGCTTCATCTGTAATGCTTCATTTTTATTCCTTCAGAAGATTTTCGTATATACATTAAACTATCTTAGTCATTTGTGGAAGCATTCATTAGCATAATTTTATAACAATTCAAATATCTTTCATGTTAGAGGAACTTCTGTTTCTGCATTTTTTCGGCAACAGTTCTAAAATGAAATTGCATTTAATATGACACTTTAAAAGGATAATTTACTTTCTCATTTTAACAAATAGCTGATATTTAGTGAAACTAGCACACACAATAAAGGATTTATATAAAAATCATTAGTTTTGTATCGGTAAATGCATTGTCTGTTCTGTATAATTCAAGATAAGGACATATAATGATTACATGGAAGCTTTCATTAAAATAGCCGCATGTTATATACTACTAAACCTACTACAAAAACTTTAGCTGGCTTCATATACCTATTCACCTGAACCTTTCCCATCTTACAGTTAAAATATATTTTTATTAGTGTTTTATTTTTGTTTGGTTTACCATTTTCCGAAATTATCTTACTCATAAATATCTAACCTCCCGAAATAACTACTGGTTGTCATAATAGGTGTAATACCACCATTGATTTTCCCCTATTAGTCTTTGTTAAATTTGCACTTTTCAAAAAATTGTGCAGAATTTATCTCTGTTTCAAATAAAGAAATACTTGGCATGAGTCAAGTTTTATCCTGTCCAGTACTATAGAAAAAATTTCACATAACATTTCATTGCATATTAGAAAATAACCATCACTGGAAGTTAACCAATCAAATTTTCCCCTTTTATTAACCCGTGTACAAGCTTTAGTAACCATGTAACCTCAAGTTTCAAAAATATTCTATAGAAACCCCAAATAAAAAAATAATGGTGCTTTTAAATACCCAAGATATATGTTTATGACCCAGAAATGTTTTACTGCAATGAAATGTAGGATTAATTACCTACAACTGACAAATCAAGGGAATATTTTTTTTCGACCTATTTTCGAATGCAACCGGATGTGACGTACTATGATTTGGTGGTATTACACCTAATATACGAATGAATCAAATAATTTCATTTTCTTATACACTAAATACGTGCCAAATTGTCCATATTTTATACACATCTCAATGGAACTTTACGATACTAGTGTGAATTTTTTAATTCAATCTTACCAAGTGAAGGAAGTGTCAACGTTCCCAGAGGGGTCACGTCAGTGTACATGTCAAGTTCTCAAGAATGATTTAATATTTAGTTATACAACTTTGTTTATTCAAATGCTTGTTTATAAGTTTGAACACATAAAACATAATTTACATTTCACTGACTTTAGTTGTTTTAACATCATAGTTGATCTTCTGCAAGTTTAACATTCGAATTCAGTTCACAGATACTTACACGCTTACAATTATATTGCATGTAAAAAAGGGGACGTTATACAGGAGTTAAACCAAACAAAATCAGACAAAGAAAAACTAACAACATGTTGACAAATAATAAAAGACAAACAAAAGCTAACAAAAGCTAACAAAACCTTTAAACAGACTTATTAAGAAGGGATATAGTTACGATACTGTTGTCAGGTCATTAGAGATTGCATATTTTGGCTTTAATATTGATTCACTTATAGGGTCTTTGCATCGGAATTAAACACATTTATTCTAAAACCAGTTGTTGGTATCACACGGGTTATGTTCTTCTCATATATTTTATGACGGTAGAATACTAAACCCCTAACAGAAGGGATTGTGCCTGATATTCATATGATGAAGACATAATCTTTCAATCAGTTTAATTGAGGTCTGGAGCTGGCATGTCAGTAACTGCTAGTAGTCTGTTGTTATTTATGTATTATTATCATTTTGTTTATTTTCTTTTGTTTCCTATTCTGACATCGGACTCAGACTTCTCTTATACTGCGTTTTACTGTGCGTACTGTTGTGCGTTTGTTTTTTTCTACATTGGCTAGAGGTATAGGGGGAGGGTTGAGATCTCAAAAAACATGTTTAACCCAGCCGCATTTTTGCGCCTGTCCCAAGTCAGGAGCCTCCGGCATTTGTTAGTCTTGTATCATTTTTAATTTTAGTTTCCTGTGTATAATTTGGAGTTTAGTATGACGTCCATTATCACTGAAATAGTATACATATTTGTTTAGGTGCCAGCTGAAGGACGCCTCCGGGTGCGGAGTTTCTCGCTGCATTAAAGACCCATTGGTGGCCTTCGGCTGTTGTCTGCTCTATGGTCGGGTTGTTGTCTCTTTGACACATTCCCCATTTCCATTCTCAATTTTAAACATTAAAACATATCACATTGAACTAAAGATGAAGAAACGGGGGATGAACTCAGTTGGTTAAGAACTGTAAGCAGTTCCTGCTTCATTTCTGAGGATAAATTGGTGTCATTCAGATTTGCATCTCATGTTTCATTGATTTGTATTAGGTTGTACGTTCAAGTTCAGTTCTTACAAGCTATGCATTGTACAACCCGAACACCCTCAAAACCAGTGTCATTATTTCCCATATTGCATTCTCTCACTTAGTTTGGTTAAAATGTTACATCTTCGTTTAAATTTTCATTCATTATATAACAGCAACAATGCGTTGGGGTACTTGGAAGTATTCAATGGTTGCTGTCAGCTTTTTTAAGATGTAGTTATTCTCAACTACTATTTTATACATTTACATTGTAGCTTAATTTTCGTGCCATTTTATTTTATTAACAGGTTTAAAAAATAATTGGAGAAACATAGAACATACTGTAAAAGTTCAAAGCTGATGTTTTAAATACTTCGCAAAACTCTGTTACTCAGTTGAATTAATTATATATTTGAAATGTTAACATTTATTATTTCTCTGATATTTTTATTAATAGAAGTATTGATTGTTTGCTCAGCAGGAATTATCGTTATTGGTAAGTAGGTATTCGAATGGTCAAATTTCAACTTCAATACAAAGAAGTAGGTACTCCCTGTGGTCAAATTGGATCTAATAGAGTTTTTTGTCCAAAATTCCCTCAATATTCAGAATTAAAACGTGCAATATTTCAACTTTACATGCATCTGTTAACCTGCCGTTTAAGGTTAACATATCTTTGTATGGGTTGAATTGCCAATGTCCCTTGATGGCGGTGAACATTTCATTAGTTATTCTTTGAAAAATTTATTCTTACATCAGGATTGTTCTTGTTGCTACACTAAAGAAACCGTAAGAAATTTACATCTCTGTGTTCTTTTTGTAAGAATTTTGTTTTTCTATATTTTAAAATAATGTGACTAAATTATATTTTTTTAATGTAATAGAAACATATATTGTTATCCTTGTAACAAATAAATTGTCATTAATAAAAAAAATCAGAATTACATTGTTACAGAATTCAAGAGGCTATAACTATAAGGAGATGTGGTATGATGCTAGAGACCAAATGAAATCGAAGTTAACAACTATAGGTCACCGTATTGCCTCAACAATAAGCAAAACCCATACAGCATAGGCAGCTATAAAAAAGTCCACGAAATGACAAATGTAATTCAAACAAGAAAACAAGAAAACTAACGGCTTAATTCATGTACAAAACAATGAACGAAAAACAAATACGATAAACAGCCACTAACGACATCCACTGAATAACAGGCTTCGGATATAGACAGGCACATGCAGAATGTGATGGGATTAAACATATGTGCGGGCGCCCAACCCTCCCCTAACCTGGGACAGTGGTGTAACAGCACAACATATGAACAAACTATAAAAATCAGGCAAAAAGAGCTTAACTCATTAGATCGATTCAAAGCAGAATAACAAGTAACAGAAACATCGGACGTGGCAGGGTATTTATACATCCCCACCATAAAAAGACACAAAGTAAAGATCTGAGAGTACTAGCAGCTACTGACAGCTAGTTCAAAGCCAATAACATCTATAAACAAATCATGTATTAAAGACTAAAATATCAATCAGTACACATCCAACATCCAATGGATTTAGTGTAAAGAATTTATTTACAGTTAGAACAAAACATGACCTTGTGCAATGCCAAAATACAGGTATCGACAGATTGAAGAACCGTGAATGTGTAAATATATATATATACAACCATAATATTATTTTGGTTTTAATTTACTGATAACAAAATCAAAATTTATTCCGATAAAACAATATTTGAAAATCTAATTATAGTGTTGAATTGGTAACCTTTAAAAATAAGATTATTTAAAGTATCTACTAGTTTACTCTGATCGTATCTAAATTTCCAGGCTCGATAAACAACATCTCCGTAAAAATTAGGATGTGCTATCCCCTTTGAAATATGTTTAGTACAGGTACAGCCAAACTTACAAATCAAATATTTGTATTTTGTACAAGTACAGCCAAACTTCCAAATTAAGTATTTGTATATATGGAAGAATTAAATAAAAGCTTAAAGTAATTTTTGGTAACGAATTCCCTGACTTAATAATTTAACCGTAATACATAGATAACGTTCATTGAAATCCAAAACTTCACTACAGACACGGACATAGCGAACAAGTAGTGGTATATATACCCCTTGAGATGTTTCCAAAGGAACATCACCATCCTAAAGAGGAAATTTACCATTAGGGAAAGAAAAATCGTCCTTTTTGTTGCACATTTTTTATAAAATTTCCCGTGTAAAATTGAAAATATCTTAATCTATGAAAAACCGGTTTTAACGTTTATACAGTTGTAGTTAATGTATTCAAAGTTCCTTTGAATTAATTTCGGCAGTATGATTAGAAAATTCTTAAATATTTAACGAAGAAATATCATTAAGATAGCGACAAGTGTTGTTGAATTTATCAAATAAATGCAATAAAGACGGGCCTTTACTGAGTTTGGTCATTAACTGTGATTCATAACAATAAAAGAACAAGCGTGCTATTAAAGGGGTGCAATTTGTCCCTATAAGAATACCTACATTCTGTGTATACACTTTATTACCGAAACGCACATAAATGTTGTCAAGGAGAAAATAACATCTAGTTTGTATTAAATACATCATTAGTGTTTAAGGCAATTACTTTGAGTTGTAATAGTTTTTACAGATAAAATTTCTACTACGGCAACCACTTTAACATGTTTAAAAAGAATTGTATCTTTAAAGACATATCACTTTATTGTTCTAGGTATTCTGTGTTTGTTCGTGATCCCACCAATACAGGACACAATAGAAATGGATAACACAGGTATGACATAATGAACCTTTTTCGTATGTATTATATATACTATATTAGAACTATTGTTGTTTTCTTCTAATTTATCATTTTTTGTTATCGGGTCTTCCTCACATAATAGTGGTGAAGAATATTTGTTTCCTTTAGAAACACATGACATTGCTGCCATTTTATCATGCTAAATCATCAACTTTGCGATTATGTTTTTGCATACTATTGTTAATCTTGATTTTGCCATGATTATGTCGTCCGTGATTCATGTCCTTTTTTAACATAATATTATTCACTGAACATAAAATGAAAAATAAGGTATGTTTAACGTATTTGTTAAAAGTTTATTAAGCTAATTTTTGTGTCTTATATTGGATAATGGATATATAACTGCTTACAATCTGAAACTGAATTGTATTTATCTGATGGGAAATGAAAACATTTTGGTACACCTTCCTTTGTTTTCAAATTTTATTGAAATGTCTTAATGTGTGTTCAATTAATTAATTAAAGGAGGTATTAGCCACAGTTAAGACAAAACAAAACTTAAGTATTTTTTATAACACTAATAAAAGCAGAATATTGAAATGATTACTCGCTATCGGCAAAGTGTTTGGTACAATTTGTAAAATTATGTTAAAAAGCTTCCATGATAAATCATTGACACTTATTCGACATCATTTGAGTTTGGATGCATGTAACCTTTGTTTCACCCTTAGTTTGAATAGTTTCAAAATTGAGATTCTGGATATGTGGGTGGCTGACTTATACTGTGTTGCTTAGCTAGACCAAGAGCACTCCTTGCGGACAAAGATAAATGACCAAGAGCTAAACACAGAAATGAGTAAAACAGTAACATATGTTTTACGGTCTTTATCGTCAAAAGCGCATGAAGTAGTCAAATAAAATGAATGAAATTATAATCGACAATATTGATACGATATGAACTGCAAATAATAGAAGCATCTAATTCATGTAATTCATCCAACTTCGTATGCATATAAGTTCGATACGATTAAATGACCTTTCCAAATAACATATTTACTGATATGAAAACTATCTCAGTTCATTAAGTATGTTTAGAAAAATGAGTCATTCAACAAAAGCAAAACAGAAAAAAAAGCAACCTTCTATAAAAAATAATCAATTATTTGACTATTATTTTGGGGGATTGTTTCACATGTTTCAGGTACAACTAATTAAATTTGTTACTTAATTGGGAAAGATAGTTACCCTGACGATAGTCCATACAAAGAGCATAGAAATAGCGATTTAAAACTTCTGATAAATACAATAAAGAAATGTTAACTGACCAGGTGGTCTTGACATGTGTTGTTTACACAACAAGTTGTTAATCCGGAAAATTGACGATTGACTTCATCAAAATTACATGTGTTTTTTTATTTAGAAGGGATGGGTGTTAAAATCGGTCAACACATTGACAATAAAAGACTTGTTATTTTTAAACATAGTTTATTTCCCTAAACAGTATTTAAGTAAGAGATAATACCAATATAATAACTGCAAAAACATATTTTCTCAAAACAAATTCATCTAAATTAACATAAAAAAAGTTTCGTTTGTTCATTTTGCAGAAACTAAATCTTCACAAAAATTTCAACTGAAGATAAAATTAACACATTGACAACTTCCCTCTACTACAGTTGATTCTTGAATCTTTTTCATCTTGAAAAAGAATAATGATAGGCAATTGCTTTGGTAAATAAACAGCAATTACCAATTCTTGTAAATACTTTAGTATTTAATAAATGAAATTAAAACTTTGAGCTACGAAGGTGGAAATGAAATTGACAGCTAATGTCCCGTTAAAATATTTTACTTTTTTATAACAAAATCGACCATTGTTTTCACAATAGTACTTTTTAAGAGGCAAGATGGCCACAAAATAATACACCATTAATCCGTATACTATTTTGTAAAGCATCAAATGATAATACCGCAATACATTTAACATGTATAATAAGCAAACTATCTTTGGGTTCTTTATTATTAATTCCGTAAATTTTTTTTTCATATCTCTTTATGTAACAGTTGTATGAATGAATTTGATATTATTGTAAAGAACTTATTAAAATGACTGCAGGAAAAAATAAATGTAAAAATTGCTTTCGATTTTTTTGTCTTTGCTGAAGATCAAAACACGAAGACAAAAGAATATAAAAGTAAATATAGAATACACAAAGCCAAATTGGAGTCCTACAAGAACAAACCATATGAATTTACAGTATTAAAAGATCTGACTGAAGGTGAGTGAGCTATTAATTATTGCATAAGTTTTTTTCTTATTCTTCTTCATATACCCAGCATATCACCTACTATTTATATCATTATATGTTAATCACCTTATGTATTCATCTTATTTAAAATGAATGTAAAAAAAAATCACCTTCAAAATACATCATATTTTAACTTCACTCTTGGCAAAATATTTAATTTCTCTTCTCAAAATTAAAGTATATTTTGAATTTATAAAAACATACACTTTCGCATTTTAGCATTGGCACAACCCCTTGTAAAGCTAAGGACGTAGCTAATACACATTTAGTAAATGAAATAATTTCAGACCTTAACTCATAAAACCATTACCCAAAATAAACTATAATTACAGTCATACTATGAAATAAAGTTCTTTTTGTATACCTTATTGAATTCGTATAATACAATAAGTTCAAGAAGTAATCAATCTTTGGTCTCGAAGTATTTGATGTGCATTTCATGGACACCAAAATCATATAGGGGACCTAAAAAACCTCAAGAACTCATAACTTAGTGTCCACATTATCAACTTGTTTGGCGGTTATGACCGTAAACATAAATAGCAGACTTATTAGAAAAACAATTGTAAAACTCGAATAAAAATAAACATATCAAATTACAAAAGAACACCTGTCCTAAGTCAGGAGCCTGTTGTTCAGTGGTTGTCGTTTGTTGGTGTGGTTCATAAGTGTTTCTCGTTTCTTCTTTTTTATATAGATTAGACCGTTGGTTTTCCTGTTTGAATTGTTTTACACTAGTCATATTGGGGCCCTTTATAGCTTGCTGTTCGGTGTGAGCCAAGGCTCTGTGTTGAAGGCCGTACTTTGACCTATAATTGTTAACTTTTTATACATTGTGACTTGGATGGAGTGTTAGGGCACTCATACTACATCTTCTTTTTTAAATAGACAATACCCAAGCTGACAAAAAAGGGACGAAAAGATAAAAATAGCCCCAAACTACAAACTATGTCTCGTGAATAACAAGAAACACGGGAGTGCCCTTAACATTTCTGGAAGGGTAATATAAGTTCCGGTATAACAGAAGCAGGTTTTGAAGGTGTGAAATTACTTATTGACGAACACCTTCTTCATATATGTTATTGTGACGATAGAAAATAGTAAAATAGCAAAAAAAGACCGAAACTTCAAGCAAAATTCGAAACGGAAAGTCCTTTATCAAATGGTAAAAACAAAAGCTTAAACACATCAAACGAAAGGAAAACAACTGTAATATTCCTGACTTGGTACAGGCATTTCCTTATGTAGAAAATGGTGGATTAAATCTGGTTTTATAGCTAGCTTAACCTCTCACTTGTATTACAGTTGCATAGAATTTCATTATATTGACAACAATGTGTGAGCAAAACATACAGACATAATATGTAAAATTATCAAAAATTGGGGTACATCAGTCAACATTGTGTAATAATCTCAATCACTATAAAACTAATCACTATTTCAGCAAAGAAAAACAAAATGGCATATAGACTCTCTATAGGCAAAGTACATATTAAGCAAAAATGAAAGACAAGAATACAAAAAATGACAATAGCACAATAACACAATGACGGGATGTGTAAATACCGAGCCACGCCAAAAGTATATTACCAAAAAAGGATTAAACAGTGAAGGTTGAAAATATACAAAGACAAATAAAAAGAGCACTATAACACGTAATTAAGAGGATTAACAAAATCAGTACCTAGAATCTATACTTCAAGACCATCATGTATTATTTGTGAAGTTGATACGAAATATTTACCAACAAGGTCTTGGTATCTTCCGATAAACTTTTTAAGAAAAAGGACGAGATGTCCTTTGACATAACTGGTTCATCAACTTTCTGACCAGACACCGGTGACGAAAAGATTCTTTTTATTATTGTATTTTAGATGGAACGATAGAGATTTATGATTCTCCTGAAAGTACGACATATGTAAGTAGTTTAAATGGTGTTAGTGTCGTTTGTTTTATGAAATGAAACTGCTTGAAGTTTTTTTTAAGAAAAACTACATTTTAATTTGTATGCCAGAATGTTACTGACTAGGATAAACAATATAATAATATTGAATGATTAAATTCAATTTTATATAAAAATTAAGAGATGTGGTATATAATTGCCTTTGCGACAACTTGTCAACTGGCTTACAATGCAGTATGGGTTTGGCTCAAGTTGAAGACCAAACAGTGACCTATAGTTGTTAAATTCTACGTCATGTGGTCTCTGATAATTAGTTGTCTCATTGACAATCATACTTCATCTTATTTATTTTCCTTTAAAATCTCCTTTGACTAGAAAATTACCCTGTGTTTACCCCCTTTTGTCATTTGAGTTTGTTTATGGTCTTTTCTATAGTTTCACTGTATTGAAAAAACAAGACCTGTTTGCATCTAAAAAGATATCCCTGGTTATCAAGATGATTTCTTAACTAATTAAATCCTTGTTTAGATAATACTATTTCATCTGATTCTGCTGCAATGTTAAGATACTTTAAACCTAAACACAAAATTTAGAACGAAAAAAGGTCGTTATGGCTAATCTTAGTGGAGCTGGAAAAGGAAAGTTCTCCCATTTCGTGTCACCAAGAGTTATTATGCAGGAATGCATAATACTTATGCATTATTTTATTTTTATGGTACTAGTTTTTGTCGATTAAGGAAACATTGTATTTCGTGAATAATTGATTTCTTAATGTGGCCAAAATCTGAATACAAGCCTTAAGATTATTTGTACTTTGTTTAACATTCAAAATAGTGTTAAACCTCCACCAGCTTCCCACGACATCCTCAAAAATTAGAATCCAACGAATAACTATGAATCCAAAGTAAACACCAACCAATAATAATACATCAACCAATAATAATAACTTGTGAGAGACACATAAAGAATGATGCGGGATTGTACAAAGTTATAATTACAGTCCTCCTAACCTGTGAAGGTGTAACAACACAACATAAGAACAAACTGTAAAAGATTTAAATGATAACATCGATTCTAAGCTGACAACAATAATATATAAATATTAAGATTGGAAACAAACTATCGTCCTATCAACAGCATAACAAAACAATTTTAACGTTAAATGTCGATTTCAGTTGAGAGTTCATGACATATTTTCTTATGTAAAATTACTCATTGTTCTTCAGTCGTTTAAGGTAGGAAAATGATGGAAATAAATTACACATTCTAAACACCATAACAAGATATAAGACTAAATTGCACTTTCGTTGATCTGATTTTTTTAATTGATTTTATATTAACTGTATGTGTTAATATATAAAGTTTGGGTGTGAAGTAACGAAACACCGACCTAAATCATACTAAAGAAAAGGTATGTTGAAAAAAAGTAAAATTGAAACAATTGTTGAGCGTAGAGGTCAAAGATTTCTGCCCATTTATTTTAAAATTATTGCACTACTATGAGATTGCCCTTAAAAATATGCAGTAAAGCAGATAAAGTAAATAAAATTATCTTAAACAATGCCTATTTGGCCTTTTAGGCACGTGACATTACCCTTTTTGAAAATACGGGTATAGATAAATAAACAAACAACCGAACGAACACAGATAAAGGTAGATTTGCAATGCAAATTGATAGTACTAGTACATTGTGTAATTAGTTTTTGACTATTTTGTTCGAAAAAAATGTATGCCGACATCACATTTCAAATATGTAGTAAAATTGATGTCTGAAGTATGTTAAGGCAGATACATTTTAAAGAGTAAGCTGTACGTTTTTTAACTGATTCAATTTGTTTACAAAAATTGGAAGATAAGCCAATGAAATCTCTGACTTGTTTAAGAACCGTTGATACTAGAAAAAGGAACTACAGAAATAACATAGGCTGTCGTAACATTAATGGCTTAATTTCTATTCATCTCATTACGATTTTCCTGTTCTAAACAAAATTTTAATGCTATTGAAGTATCTTAAATATATTTTTTTCACAGACTGCGCACACTGAAGAGGAAAAAGCAATACAAAAACTTTTTGAGGAATATAAGAGTGATTACATTATCCGTAGAAGGGAAGTAGAGCAATAAAACACAACTGTTATTGACGAATTGAAGAAATGGACAGGGGAAACGTTTCGGTATTTTAAAGCATTGATAGGGTACAAAGACAACAAGAATGCATTGTGTAAAATTCTTAATAAACATTTTGAATTAAAGATATGTAGTTATATTATGAATCTATGTTTGTCTTAAATGACTGAAGACCATGTTAACTTGCAAAACGAAACAAAACCGTTTCAAGCAATAAATAGTTATTTTATGACAATGACACGAGGTTGATTTCTTAAACGTGCGTGAGACATGAGATAACTAGTATTAAAACATTGGTCTATCGCTGTGTATACATATACAACTATGTGATATTTAAAGTATAATAAATTCATTTACAAATACTCCCTGATAAATTTAAGGGGCTATATGGTGGTCTTATCATACCTCCTCCTTTAGCATGTATTATAACATCCATGATATTAAGATAAGATATTTCTCATTATAAGACACAAAGTTTTAAAAAGGCATATTTGGAGTCTAAGTTAACCTTATATGAATTTGGTTAGTTTTTATAAGTCCTTTCTGGTTACACGTTTTCCGTATTTATACATCCATAAATTTCAAAAACTTTGGTTTCAGTGTTCATGATGAAGCGTTCGGACGCTATAAATTTATTACGGGTTATCTATATATAGAGACATTAATTAATTTTATTTAATCTGTCAAGATGCTGTCATCCCATTATTTTTCAAAAGTATATACTATACGTAAAGCACTTAATCTTCCCAAGTCAAGACAAGTAAGCATGAACTTCACAGTGACTATCAAAATTTAGCCACAACATCAAGTTTCCTAATGATAAAATAAAAGATATAAAAGCAATGTACAGGGTGATGACTTCAGACAGGCAAAACACATGTGAATAACACTAAAATACTATTTGTTTTATATAAACAGAACGAAAATTTATGGTTTTCTGTAACCAAACAAGATCTCCCGCAATGCAAATTCACGCTCAGACACACCAAATGACAATGACTTATTCGATTCATTTATCTCAATATTTATCCATGTGTTAAAATAGTTTGAAAGTATTGGAAACATAATGTATAAATAAACAACTTTTGACACATTTTTTTACATGCATTTTTTTCAATATTTCAAATTTGTAATTTTATATTTCATACAACTACATTGTGTACGTAGTCATCTCTAACAAAGGCCAACACAGAATGCAATTTGAGGACGACTAAGAAACGTCATTCGTTCTTGTTTTTGTCTCATCATTTTCCAGTAATTATATCCAACTACTAATGCATTGTGTTTATGTGTTGTTTTGATAGATCATTGGTTTTCCTTCCAGACATATATATGAGATTATGTCTCGGTACAGGGTATATATAACTTGTCTTTTGTAGAACGCGTGTTTCTATTTTTTTTTCTTTCTTTTCTACATGTTCTATATTTAATTATTTTTGTTGTTGTTTGTTTGTTTATGTTGTTTCGGCCTCTTTTGTTTTTTCAAATGGACTGGAGTGTCATAAACTTATTTTTTATATCTATTTTCTAAAAAAGGTTCTGTCGAAGAGTTTAGTTTTACTGCCGAGTTTCAAGTACATTCCCTCCCGTTAGGGGTTTGGTATCATACCATCATAAAATATACGAGAAGAACATAACGCGTATCATGCCAACAACTGGTTTTATGTGTTTATTTCCGATGAAAAGACCATATGAGTGAATCAATATTAATTCCAAAATATGCCATTTCTAGTGACCTGCCAACAGTATCGTAATTATATCTCTTCTGAATAAGTCTGTTTAAAGGTTTGGTTAGCTTTTGAGGTAAATGACGACATTTTTGTGCTTTGTATAGAATATTACCATAAAAGAATGGATATGAAATACCTGAACATATAAGATGTCTGCATGTTGATTTAAATTTACGAATGATGTCCTTGTACCGATGATAAATTTAGTAAATGTTTTGACTAGTTTGTGATATCGAAAACCCTGGTGTAATAATTGTTCAGTTATACAGAGATTTTTTTCGTTAAAATCAACTACGTTGTTACATACACGAGCGAATCAAACAAGTTGAGATATATAAACACCAAAAGATGGTTACAAGGGAACGTCACTATCTCAAAATGGATAATTAACAATAAGAAATGAAACATCATCTCTGTTATTGTAAATTTTGATATAAAGCTTCCCGTTCAAGGAATAGACATTAAGATCCAGGAAAGGGCAGTGTTTTTTGTCAGTGTTAGCTTTATTTAAAGTCAGTTCAACAGGATCAATCTCTTTAGTGTACATACTGAAGTCGTCAGTATTGAGAGCCAATATATCATCCAAATATCTAAAAGTGTTATTAAATTTTGTATCAGATGTTGTTTCGATGAATCTTTGCTGATTTAAGTCATAAATTATAATTCAAAACAATACAGAAAGAGTGGTGCACAGTTAGTCTCCATTTGAATTCCGATAACTTGACGATATACGGAATCTCCATAGAGAACAAAAATGTTATATAGTAAAAATTCAAGTGCCGTTATCGTATCAAAGCAGGTCCAATCGACATAGTTATTTTGTTTGTTATTACTTAAAAATGACCTAAAAGAGTTTGAACATATATATTCGCATTCTGACTTTTTAAATGGCCATTTAATTGCGTGTATGGTTATTTCTTAATGAGATGCTCATTTCTGCATTTACCTCCATAATAAACGTTCATAGTGAAAATGTCAAAAATCTATAAATACAAGGAATGATATATAACATAAAATAACCCAGAAATAACTTTTTTTCAACAAAATCAGCCAGCACATATGAACATTTATTTTTGTTGATACACCAATCATCTGTTATTCCTATTCTCATATGTACAATACAGGGTATTTTCGTGAGGCAGTTGAATATCATTAATATACGAAATTGTTTTGCATGATAAAAATTTCAAAAAGTTTAAATCAAAACATGTCATTATATTATAACTTTGGTTGCAAAGAAACGTTAAGTAAAAATACATATTATTTAGATATTTTCAAAGATGCTGAACCCCTTTGGGTGGTAGCGTGATTGCCTCGAGTATGCCAGGTCATGGGTTTGATCCTCTGCCGTTTATCACGCGATATTAAGGAATAAGAGCAAAGATTGACTGGTTCGGACTAAGAATAATTTGTGCTGGTAGTCTGACATGTCTTTCTTTGTTATACCGTGTAAACTAGCACATTAAACATTCGGCTCAGCATGGCGGTTAAGTAAAAAGCAATGTTCATATTCATATTACCTCAACATGTTTTCGCCCTGATATGCATGTAATATTTTCCACTGGAAGTTAAACACCAATCCGCCATCATCATCACCAGCGATGTCGCATTACAAAGTAGTGAGAACGCATAGAAATGCAATACAAATAAACTAATAAAAGAATTCGAATATCGAACATTATTTAACTCTCTGATAAACAACTTGTGAATTGAACAACGCGCTACGCTCATTCGTTATACAATATAACAGTCTGTTGTTTGTTCATTCACTTATCTATTTATTTTTTTATATTCAAATTCTTTGAATGATTATTTTATAAATAATAAATCATAGTACGTACTTTGACAGCTACTGCTGATTTTATCGAACAGCTAGTCAATTTGTACCTGTATCAACCAACTGATAGTGAATCAAAATACACCGGACACATTCGATCGATCAGAAAAGTGGTATATTACGTTGGTTTGAATTTTCCTGTCATATGACCCACATGTCATTTAAATATCATTTTCAGCGTCATGCTACACCCTTCAAACCAGAAATATCATGCAGCTACCGGTACGCGGATATTTGAGAAAGAACGACTTTATACGGGTTTTTCCTTGTAAAATTTAGTTTACAGACCGAAAAACGGACATGCACCTGCAAAATTGCAGATTGACTTTATCAAGTAATAATTAAAAAAGAATTATGTTTAATCATTTCGCCAGGAAAACCTGCATGGTTTACCCTCTCAAAATAAATGACTTTGTCCAATCAAATTGGGGTTCCGAGGGAGACACCGAAAAGAAAGGGCGGGCGGCAGTGAAAATGCATAAAAAAAGTATACAACCCTACAAAATTAAGCCGTCATCGGATCCAGTATTGTTTACCATTAAATTTCCCATATTGATACCACTCTGTTACTTCTGTTACCTATTCACGTTTCACCATTTATGACATCAAGGACCATTCTGTGGGTTGGCATATATATGGCATGCATGCAGCATTTCAACAGTTGTGGTGTTCATGTCCAAATCAAAATAAAAAGCACAGAAATGTTTATACAAACATTAAATGTTTATCATGGTTGCCTTCTACTTCCAAATTATTATTTTCTTTACTTTTATAGATTAGACGGATAAAAATAACAGGTTTTTCTGGCTTCTATTTCGCAATGTTCTATTCTTTTTAAACAACTGATACTCAACTGCTGGAACCAAACACGTTAAACTTTATCTTTTAACACTAATGATTCTTTTCAGCAGTAAAATCCAAACTACACTGGAACGTTTGTTTGGCTGTATTAACGGGATTGAAAAAAAAACAATATGCATATATGTCAATCCTTAATGGAAAAGTTGGATTTGATTTATCGTGGTTGGAGAGTTTCATGGTCTCTGCATCTAAAAGAATCCTTTCAACAACTCTCTGAGGTTACTTTAAAGTCCTACCTAACCGACTATCATTTCCAAGTTACATTCTAAATTGCTTATCCGTTATTCCGGTTGACATACCTTGCAGATACTTTGATATTGAATATAATTACATAGTTAGTTAAAGACATTCTCGTCTCTCCTGAAAGATATTAGTCCTCGCAATTATGAAACGATGTACAGAAAATCAATTGTAAGTTTGAATATAATGATAAGCTATGTACCTATTGGTTTGTCTCGATTCAGGAAAACATTAACCCGTATTGTTTAGCAGAAGGCATAACCGATTTAAAAAAAATATGCAACTATTTGAAATAAAACAAGCCTAGTTTTGAAACATATTAATCTGTAGTTGATAACATTTCATAGTCATTAAATGCAAAACGTTATTGAAAGCATAACGGCATTGAGCAACACGAACCGCTGGG